CTCATAATTATACATTATTTAAAGTATATAGTAGATTAACTTAATGTAATAATTCATAGTCAAAGTTTTCAGAGTTCAGATTCAATCAAAATCGAATTTTCTCTCAAGTTCTTCTCTCTCCCGTGCTTGCACTCACTTCCATGGGTCATTTCTTGCTTGCTTCTCACAATTCCATGTATGTTTGTTTTTCTTCATTGTTCTTCATGAATTGGATCTGGATTACCTTCTTCTATCATCTTTAATCGCTTTCTTTACTGAATTCATGAATTAGATTAGTTTTTACTGAATAAAAATCATTGAGAATGGATCACATGTGACAAATTATTCTAAACTTGTGTTCTTGACTTGGTTTAACTTGTGGATATCTCTCGGTTGATGATTGAAACTTGCAATCACTTTGTTGAACTGTATGGTGAATACTTAATTGATTAATTAGGTTTTCACAATGTCAAAAATGCAGTAGTCTTGCAATCTTGCTTACACCGAATCATGTTCATGTTATGTTTTTGCTTTTTTTAATTTTTTGCATTTTATTGCTTTGACTTTACTGTTTTGATGTTTGAGACGCTTTACAGTCATGGTAGCTAGGTTTTATTGCTTTGATTACTTGTTTTAATCTCAGTAGAAGCTTAGTTTAGAGTTAGATAGATTTTACTACACTGTTTTATGTTCTGTCATACAATAGCTTAGTTTAGAATAGATTAGTTGTAGCTAAGTTTTCAATTTAATTTTCTGCACTGCAAATCCCCTTATAAAATTGAAAAACTCATAAATATACATTACTACACTCATTCCAGTATTTACAAATCACACTTACCACTGTTTTGAGCAATTTGACCGAATTGACCACTGTCACTCGGTTAGGTTTCTAGCCACGCGCACCAAAACACACACGGTCATCTCACGTTTTAAAACCTCAAAATACAAAAATAATTACATTTCTCTCAGTCAATCATACATTTTATACATTTCATTCAAATCTTGACCGAGACATCTCTTCATAATTTCATTTTGACTGAAACCTTTTCATTTTGTTGATTTTTCGACCGACAGTATTATTTATTATGGTCATTTTTCATTTCAAAAACTCAAAAATAATTACATTTCACTCGGTTATTCATATATTTTACACCCCTGCATTTGATTTTTGACCGAGTAATTGTTTTTACATTTTGTTTTGACCAATATCACATATTTCTGACTAAGTCTGGTTTGTTTCTTATCGTGGTCACTGTTCATCACGGTCAGATTTATAAATTTGGTTTAATTTCATTCTTTTGCATTATTTTTCATTTCTGTTAGCATTCTTCTTGGTCAACCATATATTTTGTTCACTGATTTCAATTTTTGAGCGAGACATCTTATAGTATTTGCATATTGAATGAGAGCACAAATTTTTTACCGTAATTCTTGACTGCGAATATTGTTTATCATAGTCAGATTTGTGATACTGACCATGGTTACTGTTTATTATTGTCAGACTTGAGACTTTACATTGTTTTTATAATTCTGCATATTTTTAACCATGTACATCATTTTAGTCATTACATATTAAGATTTAACCTCATTTTAGTTTAGTTTAAGATTGTAAATTTTATTTTTAATTTAGTTCTTTATTGACTCGGATTGAGTGGGGACAAACCAACTGATTGAGAATAATCTAAATTCACATGTCATGACTTTTTATGCTTTTAAGGTCTATTTATATATACTGTCAGAGAATTGTCTTAATAGTTACTATAAGGCGTGCAATTTTAGTTGGATTAAGGCTGCCTATATATACCGTCTGAATTGTTTAATATAGTTATATTGGTGTACAATTTTATTTGGATTAAAAGGGGTCAATGTTGATATATTTTCTCAAAATTCATGAAGTGTTTTAAGAATAAAATTATAATAAAAATTTTAAAGTGAATAATACTTTAAACATGAATTAAAACAAATTTTTTAAATAAAAATTAAATGAAAAGTTTAATTAGTATATTACTCTTTATTATTTAATAAATATGAATTTTATTTTTTCACAAATTTTAATTAATAAAAAAAATATGTGAGAAACTTTTACTTGAGAAATACGTGTGATATGAACTTGTGAAATTTTAAGATGACTTATCTAATTATAATCTAAGGTTTTAGAATTAAGAGCCTTCGTGACTTTTGTAGCAAAATGCAAATGTTAAAAAGAAAATGCAATTTTGTTAAGATGATGATAATTTATCTAATAAATAAGTTATTATATAATAATCACTCAAGATAATAATTGTATATAACTGCACATGATTGTACATGCACATAATTAAAAAAAATTGAAAATTTTAATAATAATTAAAAAATAAATAAAAGATTAATTTTTTTAATCCTCTCTTCCTTAGAATTAAACATTGTACATCTCAATTTAATTCATAATATAAACTATGGATGAATTGTTAAAAAAAAATAATCTTTTCATTTTCTTTAATTATTGATAAAATTTTTAATTTTTTAATTATATGTAATTAAGTGAAATTATATGGGGTGACTGATGTTAATAAACCTATTTATATTTATAGGATAAATAGTATTTAATTCTAAAAATACTAACAGCAGTTAAAAAAGAAGAAGTGAAGATCCAAATACTGTTCAAGGTTGAATCCACGCATATTTGTGGGGCTGAAAAATCACCTCATAACTGTGCTTATTCTAATTATTTACAATAAAACCTTCTCACAACATTTTGACCCATCATCAGGGTAAACTGTGATGCATAAGGAAGATACTCATGCTGGATATGAAAATTCGTTTATTTTTTATATTTGTATATTAATTTTATAGGATATAAATGTTTTAAATTAAAGGTTTACTTTTGGAAAACTTAGATTTCAGACAAAATTTTAACATGCAAATGTACTTTTGAGAATAACCAGATTACTTTTTATTCTGTAAACAGAAAACTAGGTTAAAGTTAGTTTGCAAACTAGGTCTAGAAATCCTGCATATCCTAACGATTCTGTAGGTGTTTTAAAAATAAAATCATAAGATATTAAAGTTTTAAAATAAATCATATCTTAAATATAATAATTTACGACATTTATGTTTAATTATTCATTCATTTTATGTATACTTTATTTAACCCTTTACGAGATTTATTTTTTTTATAAATGTTTCTGAAGAAATTTATTCAGACAAACAATTTCTCACCTTCCATTCTATCATCTTCTTCCTCAATTTCTTCACAACAAATTCACCCCCAACTATAATTGCGCAGTACAGACTTAAGTGTAGTATTTCATAAATTGTGTGTTCAAAACAGAAAATAAAAAAAGTATATATATTTTCTTTTTGAAAACTCTATTAGACACAATAATTGTCATTATCAATGTAACAAAGATTAAGTTAACTGTCAGATAAATTCTTATTTAATTATGGTATTGGGATGTTTTATAATATTATAATAATTTTGATGTAAAATTATTTTTATACAATTATTAAAATATAACTTATTTTATTTCTTATAGATGTCCGATAAATAGAAATGAATAAATTAAATATGCATAAAAAAATGTTTATTTAAAACAAATATAGACATAACATGATTTTCTTTATCATCAATCTCATAAATAATATATTTTTAAAAAATTATTTAAATAAATCTTTCTAAGTGATTTAATGGGTGATATAATAAAGTATTTTTTTCTTTTCTCGCTTTTTTTATTTAATGTTTATTTTTCTTATTTTCTTTATATATAATCTAACCTTAAATATCATATATTTTAAAATAGATGAAGTTATATTTTGTTGAGAAAAAAATATTTTTAAATATATGTCATTTATAAATTTTAATATTCTATTAATTACACTTTTACCCATTATACCTTTGTCTTTTTGAAAGTAACAAATTAAAATGATTTTGGATGAAAATAATATTAAAATGATAAGAGTAATAATGAAATAACATGGAACCTTCACCACAAGATAAGAGCATCAATTTCTCTTTATTTTATTAATTTATATATTCAATTTCTTTCTTTTACTTATTATTACTTTATAAATGTATTTACTATTTTTCTCTCTCTCTTACAATTTTCAGCAACTTATAATTACATATATTTAAAAATAAAAACTAAGAAAATTTAAAGAAAACAATATAATAATAAAAAATTTATTAAAAATAATAAAAATTAATATTATGTTATTATGTGTATGTATGACGGAACATTAAATTTTATATATTTTAAAAAAGTAACAACCAGGTTTAATTTACTTTTCTATCTAATTGTGTTTGATTGGTATATTTAAAAATTTATTATTCTTAATTTGTTATCTTAAATTTAATAATTGTGTTCAATTTAATTTATTTTTTTCAAAAGTTTAATTGTGTTGCAATGTTAACTTTTGACATTCATAAACTTATAAATATTTATCCTGCCCATCACACAAATTTATCATCTAGTATATAATAATGAGAACTAAAAAGATAAAAATCTATAAAAATCAAAATAATAAAATGAGTATATTATAAAGACTACTTACACAAATCACATATAATTTAAACCTTAAATGTATATAATTTTTGCTATCATAAATTTTTCAGAAGATTAAATATTTCATATGGTTTTTTCTACATAAATGCTATAATAAATATACATTTAACTTTTCACATTCATACTTATAAATATCTATCGGGGCATCACAGAAATTTGTTATCTAATATATAATAATGGGAACTAAAAATATAAAAAGCAAAATAATAAAATGAGTATGTTATAAAGACTACTTACACAAATCACATATAATTTAAATCTTAAATTCAAATAATTTTTGTTATCATAAATTTTTCTAGAGATTAATTTTAAAACGGCTTTTTCTACATAAATGCTATAATAAATATAATATTTAATGCTATTGACCGTTAAACATTACCAGTAAATTATCTATTCAGAGTAATAAATGCGGAACATTTATATTCAAGTATAAAGGTAGCAAAATGGGAAAGGTGAGTATAAAAAAAGTAGTGAAAAAAAATGATGAATACAATCATCTTTGTCTTGTGTTTGGTGCTCAGAAGTGCTAACTCTGCAGTTCATGGTATTGAAATTACACCGGAAGAAGATTTGGTACTGGAAAGGAAACTAAAGATCATTAACAAGCCTCCTATCAAAGTTATTCATGTATGTTGCACTCTTCTAATATATTTTCTTATATTTTATTTTGTTGAATTCAATATCATTACATATATTGTCTAATTATTTATTTATATTTTATGTATTTTTATTCTAAATTCTACAGACAGAGTATGGCTACATTGTTGATTGCATTGATATTAACAAACAACCAGCTTTTGATCATCCTTTACTGAAGAATCATACCTTGCAGGTATACATTCTTTTTGGAAGAGTCAAACACGGAAACTTTCAATTTTTCTTTTATCACCTTTGCACTTAATTTGAATATTTGTTTGCTGTGTTTAATTACAGAGAAAACCTAGTTTTCACGTACCAATCGAAGAAACACATGACAGCCCCATTTTTGGACTTGATAAAGACGAGTGTCCGACGGGAACGGTTCCTATCAGGAGAACAACAAAAGAAGATCTTATACGAGAAAAATCATTAAACTATAGTATTATGAATGACGGCGGTATTATTGGTCTTCACGTAAGTTTTCTTGTCCAACTGAATTTCAAATATTGATAGTGGTTTTTTTTTTACGTTGCATCATGCATGTGTAATTCTTCAATTTGGTTAGTTATTGAAATATATTGAATTTGATAGCGTGCAGAAGTAGCTCTATCATCACAACTTGGTCCTTACTACGCAGTTCATGGATGGAATAGCATTTACAATCCCAAAGTTGTTGGTGCGTATCAAGCGTCCATTGCTCATATATGGGTTCAAAATGGACGAGGAAATAAATTTAACGTAATCAGTTTTGGGTGGCATGTGAGTGTTAATTTATGCAATTATATGTTTTTATTGGCCTAAAATTAATTAATTTGTGTTAATTTGATGATATAGAAAGCAATAACTACATGTAATCTTACGTTTTGGTTTAGGTGGATCCGCAAGTGAATGGTGACTATGCAACCCATCTATACGCAGCATGGACAGTAAGAAAGATCATAACTTTTTCTTTTTTTTTTTTCTTTAATATCTTTACGTAACAAATTATAAAAATGGGTTACCTGATAAACTTGATTATATGAACACACGAGTATGTTTTATTTCTTCAAAATCTAATGTGATGTTATATAAAATACAGTCAGATAATTTTCAAAAGACCGGATGCTTCAACATTCGATGTTCAGGATTTGTCCAGACTCACTTAAAAGGTGTTCTTGGTTCCCGTCTGAAAAATATATCTTCCTACGATGGACCAGTTTATAATTTCAACAGTACTATTATTCAGGTGATGTTGGTGCTATAATTTTTTATGTAATATGGTGTGATAGATGGAGGTGAGAGGTATGGTTATTGACAAAAGTTTTTTCACATAATACATTTTCAGGACCCAGAGACCAAAAATTGGTGGTTAATTGTTGCAGGGATGCATATTGGATATTTTCCGGCAGCAATATTCTCCAATTTGCGTGGAGCAGAACAAGTGGGATGGGGTGGGAGAACACTTACTCCTCGACGTACAAGTAGTCCTCCAATGGGATCTGGATATTTTCCTGACAGGAACTTTTTTCATGCAAGTTTTTTTAAGATGATTTCTTACCAAAATGAAACAAGAATAAGTCATGGACCTGAAAATTATCTAATACAGTACTTTGCTGACAAGCGCTCATGTTTTGGTCTTAGCTACTATGGCAATCTCGGAGGATTTGATGGATATTCTCTTCAATTTGGAGGACCAGGTGGTAATTGTGGTGATTGATTAATTTATTTTTACTAATCAACTTCAAAAATAAATATTCTTATTATTAAATAATTTATTTTTCTACCATTCGCTTATTTTGATCCTCACTTTTAATAGTTTAGTAAAATATTTTTTGTAATTGAAAAAAATATTGTGCAAGACAAAATTAAATATAGCATGTCGTGTATGTTGAGACATACAATCAAATATAAATCACACACAATAAAATAAAGTATTTCTCTTATGCAAGTTCAATATAAAAGTGTGATAAGATAAAACCTTAATACTAATTAAAAATTAATTACAACACAATAGGTTAGATCTGAGGCATATTTAGGCCACTAAAAATAGTAACATAGATTAATTGACTTAACTTGACCCACTAATTGAATAAGTATGGAATGTGTTAATCCATAATATCAAAGTGAAATTAAGGTTAAGTAAATATTTCAGATATTTTAATTAAATTTATTAATTTGAATCATTTTTATAAAGTTATAAATCTACTTAATTTTATATTCATATAATTTAAATTTATAAGCATTAAATTCCAATATGTTAGTATCATTAAAATATAGTATCGTTAAAAGCATATATATGATGATTGATTAATATTTTAATGTTCAAATTTAAATATATTAATTGATAATTAAATATTAAATTTAAAATAGTTATTTAAAATGATTTTTTTATTAAATTTTGATTCTCATTCTTATGATTTATTTTTATTTAAAAGTCATTTAAATTCAGTTTCACATTGCATAAAAAATAAAACTGAGGAAGACGGATTCTTGAACACTAACCTTCTATCACTTATTTTCCTAGATTATATTTCTCTCTGTAATTACTTCTTTATATATAATCTTAAAATAATTTTTAAACAATTATTCCTCAAAATAATTTAAAATATATTTATAAATTTATCTTGAATAATAATATAATTTATTTTATATTTAAATAAAATAAATATCTTATAATATATTTTAAATTATTTTTTAACTAAGATCATTTTTTTAAATTATAAATAGTTAATTTAATTAGATAATACATATTTTATGATAAATATTGTAAAAAATATTATTTTTAATAAATAATTAAATTTTAAATTTAATTTTGTTTTCACATGTAATAAAGTACTATATGTACATTCATTTAATCAATTACTTTTTACGCTAATCAATAAATTACTATAAACATTCCCATTATTATAATTTTTAAAATATTTGTTTCAGTTTATAAATAATTTTAAATATAGTAAGAATTTATTTATTAAAATATATATTTCATTTAGTTTTAGACTAAATTATATTATTATTTAAAATAAATATTTAAATATATTTTAAATTATTTTGAAGTATAATTTTAAAAAAAATCAATTAATTTTTTGTTTTAGGTTGTAAAAAAATCTTTAAAAGGAAAAAAAAGTGAAAATAATAACAATAAAAGAGAAAAAATAAATAGAAATATTATTAAAATATAATTAGTTATAAAATTTTAAGTGGATATATATAATCATAATAATAATAATGAGTTACTGCTTTGAATAATGATTTAGTGACATTGTAAATCAATTTTATGTCTCAAATTATTGATTAAAATTATAATAAAAATTAATGATATGCTTTGTAATTATTTTAATGACCGATTTAATAATTAATTTTAATGTTCTGCAAATAGAAAACGAGATTTAATTTAATTTTTCAATCTGATTGTGTTTGATTGTTACATTTAAAAAAATATTTTTAATAATTAATTATCTTAAATTTAATAATTATGTTAATTAATTTGAATTTCTTTCAAAAGTTTAATTGTGTATCAATGTTACATTTAACTTTTCACAGTTATACTTATAAATATCTATCCCGGCATCACAGAAATTTATTATTTAATATATAAGAATGGGAACTAAATATATACGAATCAAAATAATAAAATGAGTATATTAATTATAAAGACTACTTGCACAAATCACATATAATTTAAATCTTAAATTCAAATAATTTTTGCTATCATAAATTTTTCTAGAGATTAATTTCAAACGGCTTTTTCTACATAAATGCTATAATAAATATAATATTTAATGCTATTGACTATTAAACATTACCAGTAAATGATCGATTCAGAGTAATAAATGCAGAACATTTATATTATGTGAAAGGTGAGTATCAGAAAGCAATTGTGGACAGATAGTCATGAAAAAAATGATGAATACAATTATCTTTGTTTTGTGCTTGGTGATCAGTGGTGCTAACTCTGCACTTCATGGTGTTCAAATCTTACCGGAAGAAGATTTGGAACTGGAAAGGCAACTGAAGATCATTAACAAGCCTCCTATCAAAGTTATTCATGTACGTTGTACTCTTCTAATATATTTTCTTATATTTTATTTTGTTGAATTCAATATCATTATATATATTGTCTAATTATATATTTATATTTTATGTATTTGTATTCTAAAATTCTATAGACAGAGTACGGATACATTGTTGATTGCATTGATATTAAAAAACAACCAGCTTTTGACCATCCTTTACTGAAGAATCATACCTTGCAGGTATACACTCTTTCTGGAAGAGTCAAACATGGAAACTTACAATTTTTCTTTTATCACCTTTGCTCTTAATTTTAGTATTTGTTTGCTGTGTGTTTAATTACAGAGAAAACCTAGTTTTCTCGTACCAACCGAAGAAAGACATGACAGCCCCATTTTTGGACTTGATAAAGAGGAGTGTCCGATGGGAACGGTTCCTATCAGGAGAACAACAAAAGAAGATCTTATACGAGAAAAATCATTAAACTATAGTATTAAGATTGAAGGTCTTCCTGGTGTTCACGTAAGTTCTCTTTTCCAACTGAATTTCAAATAATCATTGTTTATTTCTATAAATCGCATACTGTCTAATTCTTCAATTTGGTTAGTTGTTGAAATATATTGAATTTGATAGGTTGCAGAACTAAGTCTTTCATCACAATTTAGTCCTTACTACGGAGTTCATGGATGGAATAGCGTTTATAATCCCAAAGTTGCTTGGAATCAAGACTCCTTTTCTCATATATGGGTTCAAAATGGATATGGAAGTGCATCTAACCTAATCAGTCTTGGATGGCATGTGAGCTTTATTTTATGCAATTATATGCTTCTTTTCCAAAAGCATTATCCTAAAATTATTTAATTTCTGTTGATTTGATGATGTAGAAAACCATTACGTTTTGGTTTAGGTGACTCCGCATTTCTATGGCGACTATGCAACCCATCTGTACGCAGCATGGACAGTAAGAAATATAATATATTCATTTTTTTGTATTTTTACATTACTTAACAAAATGGGTTACGTGATAAATTTGTTTATATGAACACACTATTATTTTTAACTTTTTGTAAATTAGAAGCGTTTCTGTAAAATTAAAATGAATAAACATGAATGTTTTATATCTTCAAAATCTAATGTGATGTTATATAATATACAGTCAGATAATTTTCGAAAGACCGGATGCTACAACATTCGATGTTCAGGATTTGTCCAGACTCACTTAAAAGGTGTTCTTGGTGCCCCTCTGACAAATATATCTTCCTACGGTGGACCAGTTTATAATTTTAACAGTACTATTACTCAGGTGATGTTCTGCTATAATTTTTCATGTAATATTGTATGATAGGTGGAGGTGAGAGGTGTGATTATTGACAGAAGTTTGTGTACATAATACACTTTCAGGACCCAAAGACCAAAAATTGGTGGTTAATTGTTGCAGGGACTGATATTGGATATTTTCCAGCAGCATTATTCTCCAATTTGAGTTCAGCAGATATAGTGGGATGGGGTGGGAGAACATTTTCTCCTCCAGGCTCTCCTAGTCCTCCAATGGGATCTGGATATTTTCCTGATAGGAACTTTCTTCATGCAAGTTTTTTTAAGATGATTTCTTACCAAAATGAATCAACAATAAGTCATGGACCTGAAAAATATCAATTACAATACTTCATTGACAAGCCTTCATGTTTTGATCTGAGCTATTATGGTAATCTGGGAGGATATGATGGATATTCTCTCCAATTTGGAGGACCAGGAGGTGGTCAATGTGGCGTTTGATTAACTTATTTTCAATAATGAACTTCAAAAATAAATATTCTTATTATTGAATTTTTTTTTCTACTGTTTTTTTATCCGCAATTTTAATAGTTTAGTAAAGTATTTTTTGAAATTAAAAAAACTATTGTTCAGGACAAAATTAAATATAGCATATCGTGTTACACAATCCACAATCAAATATAAATCACTCACAATAAAATAAAGTATATTACTTATGCAAGTTTAATATGAAATTGTAATAAAGGTAAAATAATAATAAGATTTTATTTTAATTAAATAGATATAAAATTTTAAAAAATTAGAATCAAATTAATTTTTAATAGAATCGATCATGGTATAAAAAACACAATAAAAATTATTTTTTTTAATATAATTATTTTATAAAAATATAATATATTTAAAATTTTTATCTCACATTAAGTCATTTTATTTTAACTATTATTCATATAATATTTTCTAATATATTTTATATTTATATTATAATAATCATAATATTAATTTTTATTTCTTAATAAAAAATTATTGTTACTAATGAAATTATTATATATTTATCATATTTTAAAAATATTATTTTATTAAATTTAGTTAGGTCTAATTAATCTTTAGATTTTAAACTGATGTCATTACTTATTTAGTGACTAATTAATTTTAAAAACATTACATAAAAATCTAATGTTAAAAATTAATTATCATAAAACAGGTTAAATTATATTTGAGGTAATCCACTGAAAATAGTAAAATAGACTAATTGACTTAACTTAATCCACTAATTGAATAAGTCTGGATGCGTTAATCCATCTATAATAAGTTATTTAATATGTTAGATATTTTAATTAAATTCATTAATGTGAATCATTTTCTAAATTTATAAATTTATTTATTTTCATATTAATATAGTTTACATTCAAATTTAAATATATAAACATTAAATTAAAATATAATAGTATCATTAAAAGCATATAGTATGATGATTGATTAATATTTTAATGCTTAAATTTAAATATATTAATTAATAATCATACATTAAAATTAGTTATTTTAAAATGTGTCACTATTAATTAAAACTTTAAGTGCCAAACTAATTTTGTAATTAAATTTTTTATTCTTAATTTTATGATATATTTTTATTCAAAATTTCATTTAAATTCAGTTTCACATTTCCTTAAAAATAAATTGTAATATTATTTAAGGTTAATTCATATTTTAAATTCCCTAATACATTAAAAATACTATTATTGATATGATTAAATTTAAAACTTTAATTATTATTTATTAATGTTTATAATAATGTTTTGAATAAAATAAATATACTAATACTATAATTACGTAGTATTTCATTATTTAACCTTTATTTTGATTAGCAATTATTAGAAAAAAATAATGTAATAAAAATATTATCAATTAATACTAAAATAATTTTATTAATATAAGTTGGAACTATCATAATAAATATGATATATATATATATATATATATATATATATAATATTTTAAATTTAATATTTGTAGTATATTAAATATCTTATAAACGATAAAAATTTATATTGAAATAATTAGTATTATTACAACTTAGTTTTTGTTTTCGAAGATATTAAATCCGTATGATTTATGTTTTTATGTATGAGGAATCAAAACTTATATATTTTACTAATGAGTTCTCTAATTTAATATTATTTTAAAAAAATTCAGTATTGTTTGACCGTTTTTAGATTTAAGTTCCTAAATATTACTTATATTTTTAATTTTTTTTACTGTTCAAAGACAAATAACTCTTACAAATATTATAATAATTTATTTATACTTTAAAAATTCTTTAAATTAATATAACATATTATTTATATAAATAATTCATTAACTTATATTTTAAAATATATTTTTATAACATAAGCAAATAAGATTTACATATACAATTATAAGAACCGATCATTCTATATATTAAATTTTGGTAATATCTGGCTCACTTTTTCTGATATTTTTACGACATTATAATTATAATATGATATTTATTTTTATTTTCATGAATTGTTAAAATAAAATTAGATAAAAGATTAATTTTCTTGTAAGATTCATATAGGATAATGTATGTATAATAAAAAAACATATAGAAAGTATGTGACTTTCTTTTTTATTACATTTTTGTTTTAACTATATTTTAAAAGATCATAATTTTTTATTAAATATGGAAGAGATGAGATAAATATTAATACATTTATATATAAAAATATATAAACTTTACAAGTTAAGTTTATATTGCTTCCATGTGTAGAAATAATTATTAAAATTAATAAATTTTTTTTTTTAAGTGGTTGATTTCACTTACGGATCTTGACCATTGATCTTGGAAGGGCCAAATAATATATTATTAATAAATAATAAATAAATAATAAATAAATATAAAAGGAGTAAGAAGATGAAATGGTGAAAGGATAAAATTGTAAATATATACTTAAATATATTAAATGATCATTAAATTTGAGGAGGACAAAATCATAAATTATATGAGAGTTACAAAATTGAGGAGGGGCTGGGAGGATAAAATTGTAAATATACAAATAAGTATATTAAATATTCATTAAATTTAGGGGCCAAAATTATAAATTACATGGGAGTTACAAAACTTTTAGGGGGTCACGGCCACCCTCCAGCTCTCAAGAAGATCCGTCATCGATTAATTTATAAATAATAATTATCTTGTCCTTTGACGTTTCTATCTATCTAAATATATATATTTAATTATATCATACACAAAAAGTAAAATAAGGAAGTAAGAATAAATATAATATAAAATAATATAATCTCAATATAATATATAAAATCATTTTTTTCAATTTTATCAACATATTTAATTTATTTTATATTATGAAGATTTGAATTAATTTTTGTAGTGACTAGTCAAGATAAATGAATCCAAAATCAATCATTCTTTAAGTGATATTTATTCATTTAAATTTTCAAAGTTCAATCTTCATCTATAATGTCAATAAAACTTCATAAATAAATATGATTCTTTAAAAATATTTAAAACAAATAAATATAAATTAATAAACAAGGATTAGGATATAAATGGAGATAAATAAATATAAAATAGGATCAATGCATAATTGAAAATAAATAAAATAAGACCAATACAATTAGAGATGAATAAACAAATACAAAAGAGCATCAGTGTGTACATGAAGATAAATAAAATAAAACCAGTATATAATTGAAGATAAATAAGATAAGACCAGTAAGTAGTTAGTAATAAATAAATAAAAACAAAAGATGATTCGTGTAACTGAAGATAAATAAAATATGAAAGAGAATGAGTGCATAACTGGTAAGGATGACAAAACGGACCAGTCCGCCTCGTTTTGGTCCTCCAAAAGCGGGACGGGGCGGGCTGGCCTGTTATAGTCATGACGGGTTGTAGACCTTGGCTCGCCCCGACAAGGGACGGGGTTGGCAGGCTGGTGGACTGACCCGCCATAATTTAGAAATTTTAAAATAATTTTTTTTAATAAATTTAATAATAAGATTATTATTTATTTGTCAATAATTCAATATATATATATATATATATATTATTTCAATTTAATAATATAAATCAATACATTATTTTAAGAAATTATAATTTAGAACAATAATAAAATTTACATAATAATAAATAATAACAAATATATATATAACGTTAAAACTTATAAAAATTATATTTTTTATATTGAAAAATTCAAATACCTATATCTTTTTTATTTGATAAAATTTCACATTATTCTTGGTTGAATAATTCTTACACCTTTAATTCAAGTCATAAGGATAAAAATAATAGTGCTTAAGATGAACAAGAAGAACAGGAGAGAGAATGTTGTGTTTCAATAAGGAGAATGAGAGTGCAACTTTTTTAATTCTCTTTTTTAAAATTTTAACTTTATATATTATCTTTATAATTAATTTTATTACAATAAAAATATATTTTTTTATTAATTAGGCTGGCCACGGACTGGTCGCCTCGTCCTGCGGGTTGGCCGACGAGCCGGCTCACGGGCCTAACCTCGTTTTGCCATCCCTAATAACTGGAGGTAAATAGATAAATAAAATAAAATCAAATACATAATGAGAGATAAATAAATAAATATAAAAAATAATCAGTGTATAACTAAAGATAAATAAATATATAATAATAGATAAAATGACGTTAAGAATACCTCACTCAACTATCATAATTAAAGTAAAATAAGAAATGTATCATTTCTCTATCAATAGTTGCACATGATATAGCAAAATATGTATGAAGTTGTTTATATTTTCTTTGTCTCTTTCTCTTTATCTTCCTCTTCTTCTCTCACTTTCTCCTCTTCTCTCTCTTTCTTTCCTTCTTTTTAATATATATATATATATATATATATATATATATATATATATTTTAATAATAATAATTTTTTAATGGATCTTTTATTATAAATTATCTAAAAATATTATAATTTAATATATTCTATTTAAAAAATTTAAATGGTAAATTTTGAAATATTATAAGCTAAGCCCAATTGATGATTATTATAAATAATATTATATCTAACCATATCTAATAATATTTAAATATATCTATAATAATATTTAATAATATTATTTTAAATCTAATATGTTTATTTGATTATTGATCTCAAAGTCTAGTTTAATAGTTTATTAGGCCTAAAATAAAATAAAAATACAAACTTTTATTTTAGTCTTAATAGTAACATTAGTTTTAATCACTGAAAAATCTTGAGTTTTATCCATTATTTTTGAGTGAAATTAATGTCATTAGTTAACTAACATCAATTATTATAATTTTAATGAAGATGATGTTTTTCCAATTCAATCCATAACATTTGTAAATGTGTTTGTGATCTTTCTATTACAACCAGTATTTAAAAAAAAAAAACTATCCAAACCTATTAGATTATTAAATTTGTGACAGAACAAAATTTCTTTCACCAAATATTTGTCATTTAATAACATGAACGTTATAGTAGAAAACTGACACATTTTTTTTTTCATTTCTATGCATTAATCACTTTCTATTCTTTATATTTTTTTATATGAATTTAGGCTTTGTTTGGTAGTAAGAAAAGAAAGAATGAGAAAAGAAAGGAGAAAAGAGGTGAAATAAAATAGAAAGAATGCTTTTTATTTGAGAAGAAAGTGATATAAAAATAAAGGAAAATGTTGATTTTAAAATGATAACAATTGAATTAAAATTAAATTTTTATTCAATTAAAAAATATAATATATAATTATTAATTAATTTTTTATTAATAAAATATTTTTTTGAAATAAAACCTTTAAATTAATATCTGTTTTTTCAATAATATATACTTTGATATATAATCATAAAATTGTTTTTATTATAAAATTATTTGACATTTAAATTAACAAAATAATATAATATTATAAACAAATATATATATATATATATATATTAATTTATTCATTTAATTTTTATAATGTGAGAATAATTTTATAAAATAATATTTTTTCCTACAATATAGAAAGTAAACAGTTAAGTTAGAATAAAAAGTAATATATATTTTTTTGGTTACTTATTTTAGCTATACAATAAAAAAATATTTTCTTTCCACTTATTTTTTTGGACTAGTGACTTTTTTATTTTAGACTTTACTTGAAAAGGACTGGAGTCTTAATAGACATTAAATATTTGATATGTTTTTTTCTACATAAATGCTGTAATAAATGTCCTGTTTAATTCTATTGATTATTCAACTCTACAAGTAATTTATTTATTCTGAGTAATAAATGCAGCACATTTTTATTATTCAAGTATATATAGGTAGTGTGCAAGTGAGAGAAAGCAATTGAGAATAGAGTCATGACAAAAATGATGAATACAATCATCTTTGTCTTGTGTTTGGTGATCAGAAGTGTTAACTCTGCAGTTCATGGTATTCAAATTACACCGGAAGAAGATTTGGAACTGGAAAGGCAACTAAAGATCATTAACAAGCCTCCAATCAAAGTTATTCATGTAATTTGCACCCTTCTAAATGTTTCCTTATATTTTCTTTTGTTGAATTCAATATCATTCTATTATTGTGTAATATATATATTTTTTATATGTATTGCATTCTAAATTTTATAGACAGAGTATGGATATATTGTTGATTGCATTGATATTAACAAACAACCAGCTTTTGACCATCCCTTATTGAAGAATCATACTCTGCAGGTATACATTCTTTTTAATAGAGTCAAACATGGAAACTTTCAAATTTTCTTTTATCCCCTTTGCTCTTAATTTGAATATTTGTTTGCTGTGTTTAATTACAGAGAAAACCTAGTTTTCACGTACCAACCGAAGAAACACATGACAGCCCCATTTTTGGACTTGATAAAGACGAGTGTCCGACAGGGACGGTTCCTATCAGGAGAACAACGAAAGAAGATCTTATAAGAGAAAAATTATTATCACACAATACTATCATGACTCAAGGTATTCCTGGTATTCATGTAAGTTCTCTTGTCCAACTGAATGTCAAATAATCATATAGTTTTTTTTTTCTATAAATTGCATCATGTCATGTCTAATTCTTCAATTTGGTTAGTTATTGAAATATATATATTGAATTTGACAGCGTGCAGAAGTATTTCTTTCATCATTTAATGGTCCTTACTACGGAGTTTATGGGGTGAATAGCATTTATAATCCAAGAGCTGCTTGGAATCAAGAGTCCCTTTCTCATATATGGGTTCAAAAGGGAGACGGAAGTACAACTAACAAAATCAGTGCTGGATGGCACGTGAGTTTCAAATTCTGCAATTATATGCTTCTTTTTTTAAAAAAATTATCCTATGTAATCTTACGTTTCGGTTTAGGTGGGTCCGCGTTTCTATGGTGACGATGGAACCCATTTGTACGCATCATGGACAGTAAGAAATATCGTAACTTTTTCTTTTATCTTTACATAACTTAATAAAAATGAATTACCTGATAAACTTGTTTACATGAACACCCGAGTTTTGTTTCTGTAAAATGAAAATGAATTAATATGATGTTGTATAATACACAGTCAGATAATTATGATAAGACTGGATGCTTCAACGTCCGATGTCCAGGATTTGTCCAGGTTCACTTAAAAGGTTATCTTGGTTCCCGTCTGAAACAAATATCTGGCTACGATGGACCAATTTATAAATTTAACAGTAGTATTACTCAGGTGATGTTGCTGCTATAATTTTTCATGTAATGTTGTATGATAGATAGATACGATTATTGACAGAAGTTTTAGTACATAATACATTTTCAGGACCCGAAGACCAATAATTGGTGGTTAACGATTGGAAAATTTGCTCTTGGATATTTTCCGGCGGCGTTATTCTCCGATATGCGTGAAGCAGAACAAGTGGGATGGGGTGGGAGAGCATATAGTGCCAGTGGTCCTCTTAGTCCTCAAATGGGATCTGGATATTTTCCTGATAAGACCTTTAGGCGTGCAAGTTTTTTTAGGATGATCTCTTATCAAGATAAATCAAGAACAAGTTTTGGACCTGCGTATTATCAAGTAAAATCCGTCCTCGACGCACCTTCGTGTTTTGGTCTTGTCTACTATGGTAATCTCGGAGGAAAAAATGGATTTTGTTTGCAATTTGGAGGACCGGGCGGAAATTGTAACAATTGATTATTATTTTTAATCTGAATTTCAAAATAATATATTATTATTATTATTATTATTATTATTATTATTATTATTATTATTATTATTATTATTATTATTCATAATAAATATCATATTCTGGTTTTCATATCATATATATAAGACCTTTAAATAAACCCTAAATCTTGTTGATGGTGTGATTCCATGACTATTTGTGTCTCCTTGAGATTTGAGATCTTTCTTCCTGAATCCATCCTCAACTCTACAAGAACAACATAGCAACATATAGATGTTAGTTTCTTCCATTGGAACCTCTCGAAGTTGTAGGATAAAACTTGTTAATTTGAATTCTTTTATAGAAAAATTAATTTGGTAGGGAGAAATAACTTGACTTAATTTCAGTCATTAATTTAAATAACAACAATATCACATTAAAAGTTAATTGACTTCTGTCCATAAAAAGTTAAATTTTTACATACAGTTGCATTTAATTTGTTCACTTTAATAAATTAAGATTAAATTTTTTTAGTAATTCAAATATAATTTATTAAATTATAATATTTTTAGTAATTTAAATGTTTTTATATATGGGTAAATTATTATTTAAAAAATTATTAATAAATATATAATTATTAATTAATTAAAATAATTATAAATAACTATATATATAAATTAAAAAAAATGAAGGAAGAGATAAGTTTTACTTAATGTTAAAATTAAAAAAATAAAAATGAAAATAAATTATCCAAAATATTAAATATAGAAAAAAAGGAAAATTAGAAGTATAAATAAGAGAAGAGATAGGTATCACAACAGAGTGGCAAGAGACGGGTTTTGCCTCTCCGACTTTCAACTTTAATCCTTGTCAAAATTAAAAATTAAGTTCTTATTCTAGTTCTTATCGAGTTTCGAGTTTTCTCATTCCTAACTCGTCTCCATTTTACATTATTTTTAAAAAATAATTATATTTATAATAAATTAATTTTAGTATTTTTTTAAATTTTTTTATAAAAAATAAATATTTATAATTTTTAATTATTATTATTATTTAAGCATGTACTTTAATTTATTGTATTTATATTTAAAAATTGTATAATTTTTTTACGGATATAAAATTTTTATAATAATAAATATTATTATTATTATAAGATTGTATTTAAACATTTAATTATATATATAATTTAATTATTTTTAAGTTTTTAAAATGTTTATAAATATAAAATATATAATTTATGATAAAATATTTAATAAACTAATTTTTATTCAATTAGTTTAAAGTGATAAAAGTTTTAATTATAATTTCTTTTTAATTCTTCAAAATACAATTATTTTACTAAGAAAAATTGATATATAATAAATAGGAATAATAAAATACAAAAAAAATATAACGTAATAAAACATAATTAAGATAAATTAAAAGTAAAATAATATTAGTTATCACTAAAATTGATGTAAAATATTTAGAAAAAAATAAAAAAGAAAAAAATTAACTTTGTGTATGTCAAATTTATTGAAAAGATTGGAAAACCAAATTGATTGAATAAATTAATAAAATGTGAAGAAGTCAAATATAAGAAAAAGATAATAATATAATAAATTGATTGATCTAAGAAATTGAAAAAGATAAAAGAGTGAAAATTGAACAGAACAAAAAAAAAGTAAAAATGGTGAAACATAAAAAAATGATCTTATATAATGTGAGAAAGAAAATGTGTTGGTATAATGCAGCGAAATATTTGCGTTTGCGGACAAAACCAATAAGGGGTGAATTGGTTTAAAATAAAAATTAGGGTTTTTAAAATTTTTCCAAATTTCACCGATTAAAATACTTGTGAAGTAAAGAGAGAAAGAATAAGAAGATTACACAAGTGTTTTATACTGGTTCGGATCAAAAGATCCAACGTCCAGTTGCTAATCACTCTAAAAGAGGATTAACGTTGTTACTGTAATCACAGTTCAAACAGATTACAAATACAAAGATAAAGATTAGAAAACACCTCTCTTGAGTCACACAAGAGATGAACACCTCATTTGAATCCACAAATGAACAACAGTTTTTCCTAGAGACGGCACAACACACAATCCACCAAGAGTCTCACTCAATGATTTTATCTCTTTTAGCCCACACTAGGTTTCAAAAACCTCTTTTTCTTCCCTACATAAAGTTCTCTAGCAATCACAGCTCTTAACTTTTGTATGAAAAATGTTATTTGTTCAGAGAGCCTTAAAGAACCTTAAGTAGAGAGATTTAGGGTCTGGAGAATAGAAGTTTTCGAAAAGAGGAGTTTTGAAAATAGGTGCATCGAAAATAAGTCCAAATTCAAAATTCAAAAATCATAACAGACGTAGATCAATGATTATCTTAAGTGATAATCGATTATTACAGAACCATTTTCATAGAGAAGTAAATTTATCCTTTGAGATAATCGATTATTCCAACAAACTTTTCAAACAACATGTTTTAATCACGATAATCGATTATCCTAAGTGATAATCGATTATCACAGAGTGGTTTTGATAAAAATAAACTTTCAGAGGAGGAATTATGTGTTGGCTATCTTGTACTCTAATTTTACAAACTCGAAAACATAAAATAGAATTATTATAAATAAATACAAATAATTATAAGTCTTTAAGACTTCAAGTCCTTTGTTCTTGAATCATCATCAATCATCATATCCTTGTATGTTCAACAAAATGAACTATTTTCAAAATATTAAAATTTTATTATTTAAATTTAAATATAAAGGCGGGACATGGACGAGAATTGGACTGGGATAGGGATTACATTACTCTTCGCTGCTCCGTCCCTAACTTTTTAAAGCGAAAAAATATGAACTCGTCATGCCCCCATCCCCGATCAACTCAATTTTTCTCTATCAAACTCAAGGCGGTTGAGTCCTGTGGGTATGATTTTAATTGTCATCTCTAGTTAATGTGAGTAGACAAAATTAAGGAGAGAGAAAAAAAAACAACATTAAGAAAATGTTGATATATCACGTGTTATTATTAAGATATGGGAGAAGACAATATTATTCTATTTATTTTATTTTTAATCATGGTTGTTAAGTGAGGTATCCTTCACTTCATTCTATTTATTATGTTATATTTTATTTCTTTTTAGTTATACACTGATTTTATTTTATATTTATTTTATTTATCTTTAGTTACACACTAGTTCTATTTTATATTTATTTATCTCCAGTCATGTAGTGATTCTATTTTATATTTATTTATCTATCTTGAGTTATGTACTAATCATATTTTATTTATTTTCGATAACTGATCATATTTTATTTATCTTCGATTACGCACTTGTTCATTAATTTATATTTATATTATTAGAAAATATTTATTTTTGAAAATTTGATAACATTATATGGAGGTTGAACCATCCTTAACTTCTTCTCCTTCTTTAACTTCCTTTCTTTTCCTAACTTCTTCTCCTTTCATAACATCTTCTCCGTCCATGACATCTTTTTCTTCCTTGACTTCTTCCTCATCCATAATAATCATTTTTACCTCCTTAACTTCTTCCTCATCCATAATTTCTTCTTTATCCTTGACTTCTTCTCTATCCAAAACTTATTCTTCTTCCCTAAATTCTTCTCCTTCCCTAATTTTTTCTTCATCCTTAACTTCTTCTTCTCCTTCCTTAACTTCATTTACATCTCAAATTTCTTCTCCATGCTTAACTTATACTCCATCCATAACTTCTTCTTCTTCCTTAACTTCTTCTTCCTCCTTGATTTCTTCTCCATACTTAAATTTTTCTCCATTCTAAACTTCTTCTCCGTCACAAACTTATTCTTCATCCTTAACTTCTTCTTCTTCTTCTTTAATTTCCTCTCTGTCCCTAACTTTTTCTCCTTCCTTAACTTCTTCTCCCTCCATAACATCTTCTTCGTCCATGACTTCTTCTCCTTCCTTGACTTCTTCTCCTTCCTTGACTTCTTCTCCATCCATAATAATCATCTCTCCCTCCTTAGCTTCTTCCTCATCCATAATTTCTTCTTTATCCTTGACTTCTTCTCCATCCAAAGATTCTTCTTCCTCCCTAACTTCTTCTCCTTCCTTCACTTCTTCCCCATCTCAAACTATTTTCCCATGCTTAACTTCTTCTCCTTCCCTAACTTCTTCTTCATCCTTAACTTCATCTACATCCCAAATTTCTTCTTCATCCTTAACTTATACTTCATCCGTAAAAAATATCTATTAGATGAGTAAATATTACTTAAAAAGTGATTAAAATTAAACTTATTTATCTTGATTGTACTTATTTATCATAATTAGTCACTACAAATTTAATTTTAATCTTCATAATATAAAATATGATAATGAAGTTGAAAAGTAGATTTTATATAATATTATGAGATTATATTGTTTTACATTATAATTGTTTTAACTTTTTTTTTTGGTATATTACATCTAAATATATCAACTTAAATAACACAAAGATGTAAAATTGAAAGACAAATATTACTGATAAATCAATAAAAAGAAAATTTGTAAATTTTAAAAAATATTACTGATTTAGAAACAATATAAATTTATAAAGTTTATATATCTATGTGTATGAATATATATCTTATGTTTTAATTTAGTTAAGATTTAATAAAAAATAAAAAATAAGATAAAAAGGCACGTCAATCTCACGTATGAAAACTATTTATAAATTAATAACAAACTCATATTGTAAAACTTAGTTTAAAATGGTAGTACATTAAAAGAAACGTTATTTAAAAAAACTTGTAAAAATTATTTAAAACTTGTATATTATTGATAATTAATAATAACAGTTAATTTAGAAAATTTTCAATTTATTTGTTAAAACTACTTTTTCTAATATATGTTTATAATTTTTTATTACTTCTAATAAAAATTATTTGGTAAAATTATATTATTAAGTTATTTTTTAAGCATTTTTTATTAAATTAAAGTACAAAATTTATATATTACGTATTTATAATATTATTAATGCATTTTTTAAAATATTTAGTTAAAATTAATTATTTATTTACATTTAAAATATATTTAATTGTTTTGTGCCGCGCGGACGGGCGGGGTGTGCGTGTGCGTGTTTTAAAAAAATATTAATTAAAACTTTTTTTATATAAAATATTTGTAAATTTTTATTACTTCGAAATAAAACTCTTTTCAAAATGAGATTTTTAACTATTTGTTAAGCATTTCTCTCTAAAATTAGAAGTAAAAATAATTATATATTAAGTAATTTACAATATTAATACATTTTATATTATTTTTAATTAAAATTTTAAATTTTCTTTAAATTAAAATATGTTTTATTAGACAATAGAATTTTTAAATTTTATAAACTTACCAGTTTGTCTAATATTCTATAACTACTTTAAAAGCTGATTATTATTATTATATTTTGTAATTTGAAATTAACATAATATTTTAAAACTTATTATAACTTTTATTATGAATATATATATATATATATATATATATATATATATATATATATATTACATGAATTATATAAAAATTATATCCAATTAATTATTTTGTAAAATATCTTATTTTTTAAATATTCAACTTTTTTATTTAGCAATATAAACAAAATTTTAAAATTTATCCTTAACAGTAAATTAATATCCTAAACAATTTTGGGAACGGTTCATTTTATATATTTTTTAATTAGAAATTAAAGATAAAATCATTTCAAATTTATTATAAAAATTGTCATATTAAAAAAAAAACTGTATATAGGAAATAATAAAAAATGTCTTAAATTTATATACAGTTTAGTGATAGTTGAAAAAAAAAACCAAAGAAAACTACAAATATCGAAATTTGAATAGGACACAATTTTAGATAAAAACTGTCATTTTAAATTTTTAAAATTTATTAATTGAAACTTTTTTCTAATAATATATTTATAGTGTTTTTGTATTTATTAACAAAATCGTTTGATAAAATTAGTTTATAATTCTTTAACCTAATTCAATTTTTAATGTTTTAAATCTACAGTTAAATTAGTATTCTAAAACGCATTTTTAAAACCGATTACTTTTTAAATTATAACAATAGATTAACTTTTTCCTTTTTTTGTGTTTTAAAAATATATATTTTACTTTTTATTAAGACCCACATATTTTATTTTTTATTAATATATAAAAAGAAAAAATATATAAAAAGTATTATTTTTACAAAATTAATTTTTGTCTAATAAGGTGTCATTTATTGTCATAATTATAACTTAAATTTATGTGAATACATTTTTTACATGCCTTTTATTAAATACGAATATTTGGCGAATATATTAACTCATATTTATATTTTGAGTTTTAATTATGTTATTTTATAAATTATAAATATAACGTGATAAAAAAATTAAGTGAATAATGTAATATATTTTTTATTTTTAAATATGATTTTATTAATTTGAATTAATATATTTTTAAAAATATATAACTATATAGTAAAACATAAAATATTATTATAAATAATGATATTTTAACCGGAAGATATTACTATAAAAAGTTTTATTTGTTAAAAAAACTCAATTAATAATTATTCAATATAAATACCTAATTTTAATTTATTTTTCTTAAATCAATATGTTTTTCATATTGCATTTTTGTCAAACAAACAAATTTCCATTGTAGTTTTATCTCTTTTTTTCTTCTTTTTGGCCTACAATCGAGCCTAAATATTTTAGATGCCCTTTTCTTCCACAAGCGCCATGATAAATATGATATTTAATGCTATTTATTATTCAACTTTATACAGTAGAGATTAAATATTTAATTTTCTACCATAAATGCTACAATAAATTTAATATTTAATGCTATTGACTATTCAACTTTACAACTATTTAATGCTATTGACTATTCAACTTTACAAGTAATATTAAAAGTAATAAAACATATGTGACGAATTTATTCAAATCTAATATAAAAGTCGATAATGTGAAAGGCGAGCATCAGTAATCACTGGAATAGAATCCTGAGAAAATGACCAATACATTGATATTTGTTTTGTGTTTGGTGACCATCGGTGTTAACTCTGCAGTTCATGGTATTCAAATTACATTGGAAGAAGATTTGGAACTGGAAAGGCAACTAAAGATCATTAACAAGCCTCCAATCAAAGTTATTCATGTATTTTGTACTCCTCTAATATATTCCATTTGATTTTCTTTTATTGAATTCAATATTGTTATAAATATTATCTAATTTATTATTCTATTTTTTTTTATGTATTGTATTCTAAATTCAATAGACAGAGTATGGATACATTGTTGATTGCATTGATATTAAGAAGCAACCAGCTTTTGATCATCCTTTATTGAAAAATCATACCTTGCAGGTATACATTTTTTTTAGTAGAATCAAATGTGAAACCTTTAAATTTTTCTTTTATAACCTTTGCTCTTGAATTTAATATTTATTTACTTTGTTTAAGTACAGACAAAACCTAGTTTTCACGTCCCAATTGAAAAAACACATGTCAGACCAATTTTTGGACTTGAGGACGACGAGTGTCCGACAGGGACGGTTCCTATCAGGAGAACAACAAAAGCAGATCTTATACGAGAAAAAGCATTAAGCTATAGTATTATGGCGGAAGGTATTCCTGGTGTTCACGTAAGTTCTCTTCAATAACTGAACTTCAAATTCAAATCACGGTTTATTTTTGTAAATTGCATCACGTCTAATTCCTCAATTTGACTAGATATTTAAATATATTGGATTTTGTAGTTTGCAGAAGCATTTGTTAAATCCGATTCTGGACCATTCTACGGAATTTCTGGATATAATAGCATTTATAATCCACAAGTTAATAGGAATCAAATGTCCCTTACTCATTTATGGGTTCAAAATGGACCAACAAGTGCAACTAATAAAATCAGTGTTGGATGGCAGGTGAATTTTAATTTGCGCAATTATATACTTTTTAAACCAATTATTTAATAAGTATTTACTTTCTGTTACTTTTTGATGATATAGAAAACAGTAAGTAAGTAATCCTACGTTTTTGGTTTAGGTGGCTCCTCATTTATATGGTGACGATGGAACCCATGTATATACATCATGGACGGTAAGAAACATCTGTTTATATGTTATAATTAGAAAGCATTTATGTAAAAAAAATAATTATAAATAAACGAGAATGCTTTATTTGTTTAAAATTTAACGTGATGTTGAAAATATGCAGTCAGACAATTTCCATAAGACCGGATGCTACAACGTTAGATGTCCAGGTTTTATCCAAACAAACGAAAAGGGTTTTATTGGTTCCCGTCTGAGAAATATATCAGTCTACGGTGGACCAACTTATAATTTCAACAGTACTATTACTCAGGTGATGTTGGTGCTATAATTTTTTATGTAATATTGTATGATAGATGGAGGTGAGAGGTATGATTACTAACAGAAGTTTTGTGTACATAATACATTTTCAGGATCGAACGACCAAAAATTGGTGGTTAATTATAGGACAGACTGCTATTGGGTATTTTCCGGCAGCACTGTTCTCGAATATGGGTTCAGCAGATAGAGTGGGATGGGGTGGGAGAACATTAACTCCTCAAGGTTTTCGTAGTCCTCCAATGGGATCTGGACATTTTCCTGATATGAGTTTTAACCATGCAAGCTTTTTTAGGGAGATCTCTTATCAAGATGCATCAAGAACAAGTCATGGACCTGAATCAAATCAATTAGAGTACATCGTTGACGCACCTATATGTTTTAGACTTAGCTACTACGGTCATCTCCCAGGAAATGTTGCATATTCTCTTGAATTTGGAGGGCCTGGTGGTATTTGTGGCAATTGATTAGTTTATTCTTAATCATAAACTTTAAAAATATTATTATTATTATTATTTGGATTTTTTTTTTCTCTACCATTCTCTCTACTAGTTTCGCAAAATACTATGTTTCTGATTGAAGAAAATATCGTTACATTGTAGAATATGGCACAAACGAAGGATACCATCAAATATAAACATAGCATACCGTGACGATGCTGAGAGATACAATCAAATATAAATCACACGCAATATCAAGATTAAAGTATTATTCTTATGCAATTCAATAAAAAGGTGTAATAGAACAAAATAGAGATGAAACTCTAATAATTTTTTCATAAAAAAAAGGAAATAAAAAATGGGGAAAAAAATGAATAAGGGGATAGATCAGGAGTGTTTTATAAGGTTTAAGATGAGGTAATTCCAACCTTCATTCCTATTTAATCTAACTAAAAGAAATTAGGTTAATTTTTTTAGTTAAACCTATTTACATGAGTTCACCTTATTTTCTATTAGAGACAAATTTATACGTTCAACTACATATTTAATCTATCTTTTCATCCCATCATAATTATTAAATAATATTAACATAAATAATATGTATATATTATTTATTTTATTAAACTATTCTCTTAATTAGATGTGAATTTTTGAAAATTTAAATTATTTAAATATTAAATAATATTTACAAAATTTAATAAAACATGTTTCGAAATTAAACATTTTAGTAAAAAAATATTTTTTTCAAATATGTGAATCAATTAACTTAATTTAATCCAACTTGATTAATCATGATTTGAGTTAGCTTAAACTTCAAATTAAAATTATATTAAAATCTGAATAAAAAACAGTTTATTTTAAATAAATCGTTGAATATAAAATTAATTTAAAATTTGTAATATAGATTCATTTAAATTATGCATGACTCTATTTGTCATTGTTTCGTGATACAAGAAATTTTATTTCACTCTATTTACATTATTTAATACTTATAAGACTAATTATATAATTATTTATTCAATTCAATATCATTGGAATCGAAAGTTAATTATATTAAAGTTGTCAAATTTATTAGGTTTGAGTACATAGTTTGATTCGATACTACAAAAAAAATAAAAAAAATTATAGGTTTTAACGGATTAATAAGTTTAAAAGGTGAAATTGAACTAAAATAGATTTAAGCAATCAAATTTGGTTTTAAAACTTTTAGGCTATCTGAACCCAATTAAAGTCCATGATATTAATTAATTTTTTAACTTATTATTTATGTTTGAGCCTTTTAAGAACCCCAAATCATTTTTTATAAGATAAAAAGTTGTGTGACTTTTGTACCTCTTTTCTTCTTCTTGTTCTCACTCTTCAACTCATTACTTTCTTGTCTGGATTTATCAATTTAGGTGTTCATATTGTTTTGAAAGTTTGTTTAAATAAATCTTCATTCTTATTCTTTTAATTATATTAGTTGTGTTGAATCATCAACTAATATGTTGTTACTTAATACAAATATTGAAGATTATATTATGTTTATTTAATTATGTCTAAGCATTACTGTCATGATTTTTTAGGAACATATATATGTGATAGAAAATTAATCTAAATTATAACAATTGACTTTTTTAAATTTTATGAAAATTATATTTAAATAATTGATTAATTATTATCTTAATTAATAATAGTGTAATACACATAATATCACTATTTACATATTGCTAATGGTTTACTTATTTTCCTTTACTACTTATAATCTGATTTTATATATATTTTTAATTCTCTTAAATATGTCATTTTTTATTTGGTGACAATGATCAAGTACTACTATTTATATATTTTTATTTATTTTAAATATAACATTTATAATTTAGTAACCATGATAAAGGATTATAAATTATATATATATATATATATATATATATATATATTTTTTTTTCTTCTTCTTCTTTTATACCTATGTATTTTTTAAATTTCTACTAATAATAAATTCTAAAAACCATAACTTGATTAAAATAATGTTTAATATATTGTAATATATTCAGAAACATGTTGACTATATATTTTTAAAAAGACAACTCTTAAAGTAATGTGTTTAAATATTTGATCCAATATTGACCCAATTTGTTTTATATAGGTTTGTTTTAAAAATTAACCAAAAAATTAAAACGAAACTTTAAAATGATTGTTTGGTATAGGTTTACTATTGATCAAACTCGCATTAATCGAACTGATTGTTAACTGAAAAAATCAAATTCAATAATATGAAAATAGTCAACTTTTGACCATACATCAGATTTAAGCATGATTAACCTTTTAGACCAAATGATAATAATATTTTATTCAGGGTCAAACTCTATTATTAGGCTTTTATTAATTAACTAATCCATTTTAAATTAGGTTTAAAGACCATTTTCAAATCAGTCTTAAAGTCTAAAGTGATGTTATGTCTTTCAAACCAAACAACATTAAGAGCAAAATGATGGGCTTGTTTCACTCAATTTTTTTTTTAATTTTAAAAATTGTTTGTTGAAAAAAAATTGTTGGATTTTTTTAAAATTATTTTAAAAAAATATATTAATAAAGAAGTTATAACAAAAGTTGAAGAATGATTTTAATAACTTTATAATAATAAAGATGAATAAATATTAGTGAAAACATTTATATCTATTAATAAAAACAAAAATCTAAAAAAATATCTTTTATTAATTTTGATATTTTAATTTTTAGAAACAGGAAATAAACAAACCCTAACTTTTGACTATTTTAAAAATAATTACTTCTTACCAAACACTAAGACCATTTTCAAATCAGTCTTTGAACGTTTATTCTCTCCACTTTTCTCCCTTTCTTTATCGAGTAAGATTAAGGTTTATCGAGTAGTATCACTTTTTTCTTTTTTTCTTAATGATTTACTTACAACTATTTTAAAAAATAATTACTTGTCACCCCATTATATTAATATAATAATAATAATAATAATAATAATAATAATATATAACATTAATAATAAATAAAAATAAAAATAAATAGTTATAATTGGATGACTAACTTTGTATATTATGATAATTTTATACAGTTTTAATTAAAAATAATTTTGTATATTATGATAAATAAAAATAAAAATAAACAGTTTTAATTAGATGGGTAATTATTATAATGATAAAATAATTTTAAATTAATTATTTATGTTATAGTAAATAAATTTATGTATTATCAAAATAAATCAATTATTTATTGTAATCATAATTTTAAATAAATAATTAATATTTTTTAGTTTGTTGATTTTATTTGTTTTAATATATTTTTATTAAACTTTAATATAATAATTTAATTAGGAGAATAAATAGGAGAGGAAAGAAATAAATAAGATACTTACACTAAAAAAAAACTTTAAAAATATATGAATAATAAATCGATTCAATAAATAAATTGATAGAGAGTTTATTAGAGTAATTTTTATTTTAAATTCATTCATTATATGTCTATATATAAATTGTCAATATTTTTTATTCTTCTTTATCTAATGCTAAATGGCTGAATTTAAAAGAAAGAAAGTAATTGTAAGTTAATGATAAATAACAAGAGATAAATTTTATGTAGTGTGAAGCATTCAACGGCGAATTTCTTAGGAATAGATACAACTCATGCAGTCTAAGTTATACATTGAAACGTCAAAAAACACAATATTTCAGCTATAATTGCAATTTAAAATCATGCACGCGCAGTATTTCGTAATTTTGAATCATGATAGTTTGTAATATAATAAAAATTAACCTTTTATAATAGATAATTATTATTTTTAATTAAATAAATAATTAAAGAAAAATAAGTTCCGATTTTGGCTGGGTTGAGTAAAGTCCGTTGAAAGTGGGTTTGTTTGTCGTCCGATAATTTTGTTTGGGCTAACGTTGTCGGCCTTGCAATGTGCCCCTTTTTTCTCTCTCCTTGTTGCTCACTCTCTGCACCAAAAGTTTGAATCTTGAATTCCTCTAACTAACAATTTAATTCCCCAGTTTGATTTAGCGTTCCATTGTTTTGCATGGCGTACAAAGTGGACAATGAATACGACTACCTATTCAAGGTCGTTTTGATCGGGGACTCCGGGGTTGGAAAGTCTAACATCCTTTCCAGGTTCACGCGAAACGAGTTCTGCTTGGAATCCAAGTCTACCATTGGGGTTGAATTCGCAACCAGAACATTGCAGGTTCGTTCATTTTATACTTACCATAGATCTATTACGTTCTCCGTTTTTTCTTTTGTGGATGATATTATATCACACTTCTTGTGGGTTTTTACATTCTTTGATTGATTGATTGAGAAAAACTTTAATGAAAGAATGGTTCTTGAATATGATAGAAACTGTTATGTAAATGCACTAAACTGTGTAAATTTTATTGAATCTTTTGTATTTTAAATTTATTGGATTGGTTTTCATCAAAAGGAGGGCAAATTGGTACACTCCAAGTGCCGGAATGCTTGTACATACCATTTCTCATCAAAAATACTGATTTTTAGTGAACATTGTCGGAATATACGTTTGAAACACTATTGTATGATAGATTCTTATATTTTCAAGTTATTGCACTGATACAGTAAAATCATAATGCATGTCACAGCTTATGTCAAGGGAACTTTCTCTCTATTTTTACTGGAGAAATGCTTGCTAACAATCCATTTAAATAGGTGAAAACTCATGAACAATTTTATTTCATTTTTAGCATGATTTATGGTACTTGTAGTGTGGCATGATTCATTTTTACCTTTTAAGGTGAAATTTAATTGGTAGTTAGAAGAATAGGTGACAAGAATCCAATCCTTGGTAAAAGAGGCTCTCATTATGAAATTTAAGCAAGTAGGTGAAGCGCATTTCTTAACAAAAATCATACATGTCATTGAATTGAATAGAAAACAAATTGGAAGGTTGGAGAACTGTATACTACATTAAGTATTTTCTCCATTGAACAATAGTTAATAATATTTGCAAATTGCAACTCATCCTATACACTAGTATCAATGAAAAAAGACATGAGGTACTGCCAGTCTGGTACAATCCCATCTAAGAATTGAAATGAAATTATATAGTATTATGCAAGATTTCTCCCCAAAGAGTAGAAATAAAACCACTTCTGTATTATTAGTGATAAGTATGTGGTTTGAGGGCTGTGAGCAGTAAGATCAGCAGAAATGCCAATTGTCAATAGATGAAACTAACAAGATTCTTTTTTATATGATTCCTCTTGCATGTTTGATGATTTTCCTATGTGAAGAAAATGAAGGAAAAGGAATTGAATTTCCACTGCTATATATATTTTTATTGTCACCTGCATGAAGAGTTGATTAATCCCTTCCTTGGAAACACATGTTCATGCAGGTGGAGGGGAAGACTGTAAAGGCACAAATATGGGACACTGCAGGGCAAGAGAGGTACAGAGCTATCACAAGTGCCTACTATAGAGGAGCTGTTGGTGCCTTGTTGGTGTATGACATAACCAAGAGGCAAACATTTGACAATGTTCAGAGGTGGCTCCGAGAACTAAGGGACCATGCAGACTCCAACATTGTTATCATGATGGCTGGAAACAAATCTGACTTGAATCATCTGAGAGCAATCTCTACTGAAGATGCTCAAAGTTTGGCTGAGAAGGAAGGTTTGTCCTTTCTAGAGACTTCAGCATTGGAGGCATACAATGTGGAGAAGGCATTCCAAACCATTTTGTTTGATATATATCACATCATAAGTAAAAAGGCACTGGCAGCACAAGATGCCACTTCCTCTACTGGCCTTCCCCAAGGAACTATCATAAATGTCTCAAATACGCAAGATAATACCCCCAGCAGAAGTTGTTGCTCTAACTAACAGAGTAACTGTGTAGAAAAACAGGGATAAGCAAGGTTTCTCAAAACAAAATATTTGAAAAAACATGAGGAATAGTTGCTAGTTAAATGCTACCTTTTGTCAGGTTTGTCTCTATTTTTTGGGGTAACATGTGGGAGGATGATGATCTAGTCTTCAACATTCTCAATTGAAAATGAATATGACGTGTTGACAATTCATGTTCTTTGCTTTGGCATAAACTGATTCTTGAAATCATGCCATTCGGAGTTAGGATCTTAGGTTTAGTCTTTAATACTGTAATTTGTAACTCTAGTGTCAGTGAAGTTGCTCCCATTCTATCCACTGTATGATTTCATTCATAATAACATCTTAGCGTTAATAACACAATTTTGTTAATATTGATCTCAAAAATGCTTAAGCATTGTTCATTTTGATTCATTACTTGTATATGTATAACTGTATTTAGACTAATAGTTTAACTCAGTGCTCTAAAACTATGTGTGTATCATTTTGTTAGTTCTCTAAAAAAATTTAATGCAAAAATTATCCTCTAAGATAATGAACTGTTCCTCATCACAGGTTCATAGTGAAATTTACTCTGGGTTGATAAAACGGGGGATCCAGTATCACTTAAAAATCGTGTTGGCGCCGTGGTTCATCTATGGACTTACCTTATTTTTATTAAAGATGGCAAAAGAAAAAAAAAATCCTTGTCTAAAATCTGTCACACAATAAATAATATATTATTGGATTGACGAAAATAATACATCTTACAAAATTTCGTGTCACTTTGGATAAGTAAAAAAATAGGTGATAATAGTTATATAATAAACTTAAAGTCTATAATGTTCTGACATTCTAATCAATAACACTTTAAGTATGTATTTAATTTTTTTTATATTTTTGTAATAGAGTGTTGTGAGATTTGATTTAAATTCTTACCGTAGAGAATGTGAATATATTTGGAATCAAAGGGTGTGTTGTAAAATTTTTTATATAGTATTATTCTTTAGTTATCATTAGATAATAGTCGTGATTTTTTTTTGAAAATGATACTTTGACAACCCAAATTTATACAACTTCTATAAACAACTATATTTTAATATTATAATAATAATTTTAATTTATTTTTATTTTTATTAAATCATTCGATAGATTATTATATTAATAAAAGTGAGTTGTTTGAAGGGTTGTATAGTTTCCAGTTGTCAAAATATCACCACTCTTTTTTTTTTTTTTTTAGTTTTGAAGTATCATATTATATATTCGAGGATAAAAACGTTGATCTTCATGATGTTTTTTTTTTCATCATAGTGGTATCATAAGTAGGATATTCTTAATATTTTTTGTAGTTGCAGCTTAATCTAATCTTTTACACAAGAAAATTTTAACTCCTTGTTGTTAGATAATCTTCCTTGGTTATTGAAGTTACAATGTCATTTGTAAGTGCAGTCAAATATAATGTAGAGAAATTTGATGGAATGATCAATTTTGGCTTATGACAATAGGTTAAAGATGTGCTGATATAGTCTGGAATTATACAAGACATTGAAAGAAAGAACTTATGAGATGAAGTTAAGTATACTTATGACATAATTGCGTTCTCACGAAAAAGGACGAATCTTTTATAGTGGTAAATATGTATGGATATTGACTAATAGTGATGCAATGTATGTAATAATTATACAAGTAGCATTGGTTAACATTGATGCATGTGTGTTGTGAAAGAAAATTATTAAAATGGTTTAATTTCAAGTGAGTATATTCTTTATAGTAGAGTATAAATGATTGTTAGTGTAAGCAAAAAGAAATTCTTAAAATTGTTTAATTTCAAGTGAGTATATTTTTTATGGTGAAGTATAAATGATTGTTAATGTAAACAATGGAAATAAAAAGATTAAAAGGAAGACGCTTTTATTTTAATCATGATATTCTCATGTTAATGAAAATAATAAATCTTGAAAAGTTTCTCATTGTCTTAAATAAGTAATGAAATGAGTAATAATAATTACAATGAACTCAAAATCTATGATATTCCGACAATAAATAAATATTAGTAGGTAGTTATTTATTATCCGTGCTCATTTGATTTTTTATTATCCTTAATCATGATCTTGTTTACAAAAATAAAAAAATATTCTAATTTATTTTTAATTTAAATTACATAAATTAAATTAATTCTAATTTTTGATACAGTAATTGTTTTTATTTTTAGTAAAACGAGGACATTTTAACTATTCTCTCCTAAACGTTTCAAAATCACATGTTACGTCAAAAGTTATGCTGAATTTCTTAAAAACTCAAGTCACAAGTATTACTAACCATTGAGAGATAAGCACATTATCCATATTGGATTGTGTCAAGTTTGATTAAGTAGCTTACAAGTTTTGAAAAAGAATTTAAAATTTTTTAAATTTGTTTTAAAAATATACTTTATTATTTAATATTTTGAAAACGTAAGGGCGGGAAATGAAAAATATTGGATGGAAATAGCAATGCCATGCTCAATCATTTGAATTGAAGTGAGCTATAAAGTGAAAAAGGCTGCTATTGGCACAATTTCAGTGAAAATCCTGGCCCAACCAAGAAGAAGAAAATATCCCAATAAGGACCTCGAGCCAAGGGACACAACGCATGGGAGTATGTGAATTATGACTATTTATTTTTAGTCAATTGAATCATAGACTTGTTCATTTAAATTACTATTAAAATTTAATTAATTATTTATAAAATTAGAAATCGAATATCTTTATTTTAAAACGAGTGACCAGAATTACTTATTAAACAAATAAAAAAACTAAACTTATATTTAAATCTTAAAAAACTCTTATTAAAAATAATGAATCAAATTTTTTAATAAAATAACTAATATACAAAATTGGTAAATATATATAACACATTTGGAAAAAAAATATTAACACTTTATATGTTGCATGGGGAAGGGCGGTGTAAATGGGCAACAAAGCCAATGAAAAACCATTGAATATTAAAGCAAATTAAAAGTCACAAATCTAGTAGTAACTTTTCCTATTAAATGCATTATAAGTCCCTACTAAAAACATTGTTCACCATTGATTATTAATCTCTCACACTAACTACGGGTAAATGTATCATTCAAGGAACTATCATCAAGCAATTATGTATCAAAATTTTCAAGCCACCATGCTAGCCTAGGAAGATAATGATATATTACTAAATGAATATGTTTTTTTCAATTTTCACGTGTTCAACAATAAAAGCGTGTGATGGTTGACTAGTTTGATCAAAGAGGTTTAAACATAAGCATACAACTTAACTAGTAATTCTGTTTATTTTCATTAATGATCTTAACAACTTATCAAATAGAAATATAGAAGTGGTTTTTCTTTCCTTTTATTAAGGAATTTTTGTATGTAACACGCGTCACTGTTTGATAGGAAGCTTGGTTTAACCGACGTAGCCCTAACCTAAATATCTTACAGCTGTCTAATGCGCCTTCTCAACTTAATTTTCGGGCAACCGCATATTCCCCAGAAAAAGTATCTCATATTCGCCTGCGGAATTTATTCCCTGTGCCCACTTCCACGCTAAACTCATTCTTTGTACGGAAAAAGTCGACACATAACTCTTCATCTCGAATCATCGACGCAAAACATGGAATCACCCTGCAACGCACCGCACTGCGTAAAACCCACGTTGTTTGATCTTTTCCCGTGAACCCACCCCGCTTATACGTCACCGTTTTGGTTAATCCGGACAGCAAAAACGACGTCGCCAACCTGAGAAAAGCGAAGAAGAAGAAGAAGAAGAAGAAAAAACGCTTAGTTGTTTGATTCTGCTCAGAGCGAAAGCAAAGTGGAGAGAATAAATGCTCGATGCATAGCTGCTACTGTTGCGAGTCCATCGTATTCTTGTGGTAGTGAAGGTAGGTTGAGGTTTAACTTCGGTAAGAAAAGGTGGTGAAAGAGAATAGAGAAGTGGAAAATCGGAACTCGGAGATGCAAATGGAAGCTAGGGTTGGCGTGGCCGTGGACGGTGGCGGTGTACGGAAATTGGTGCAGCAGCCGCCGAAGCAGATTGGAGCTGTTTCGCAGCTTCTCGCCGGCGGAGTCGCTGGCGCGTTAAGCAAGACCTGTACGGCGCCGCTTGCGAGACTCACCATCCTCTTTCAGGTTCCAATCTTTTAACTTCATTTCAATTTTACAAAATAATAAAATAAAATATGCGTTTTGGTTTTTAAGTAAGTTTTAGAATATTGAAATTTAAAATAACGAATAGAGAGAGGGGGGTTGAGGTTTTCGTTATTCTGTTAAAACTTAGTCTTTGTGGAATTATTTTTGAAAATGTTAGGTCCAGGGAATGCATTCCAACGTTGCGACTTTGAGAAAGGCCAGTATATGGAATGAGGCTTCACGGATTATCCATGAAGAGGGGTTTAGGGCTTTCTGGAAAGGGAATCTGGTGACTATTGCTCACCGGTTACCTTATTCTTCGGTTAACTTTTATTCGTACGAGCACTACAAGAAGGTAATGTTATTGGTGCTCTGATCTGGGTATTTACTTTCATTTGATTATGTTGTTGAGAAGTAACAAATTTGTATTTATGATTTTATGAGTACGTGCGTGTTCTTGGATTGATTTGTGTTTAATTGTACTCTGTATAATCAGTTGCTAAAGATGATTCCGGGAATTCAAAGTCATAGCGATAATGTTAGTGCAGACCTTTGCGTGCATTTTGTTGGCGGTGGCATGGCAGGAATCACTGCTGCTACATCTACTTATCCCTTGGATCTTGTAAGAACGCGGTTGGCTGCACAGGTAGTATCAAATGTGTTTGATTTTCGTTGGGTGTTGCCCTTTTCCCTTATGCATTTCGGCTCCATCTTTTTTAGATGAGTACTATTGTTCAATGATATGTGCCCAAGTTGTCATTCAGGTTATTTTAATTTTGACCCACTCCTATTATAATTAGTTGTATTAGTTTTCTTTGTGTTAGTAGCATTGTGCAACCCACTTAACCGACTTTACCTAGTTGATAAGACTTTTGTTGTAGCAAACAGTTGTTGTTGATGTATTCTTCTATATGGTCTTTTAGGCTATAGACAACTTTGCATGCTGATGATCCTGACCTTGAAATTGTCTTAATTTTGAAATCATATTATCCACTGGAGATGTCTACTTAATTTTGATGAACTGTTCATGCACAGTTAAAGATCCTGGCATTTTAATTTTAATTCTTAACAATTAGCATTGTTAAAATTTTTCAGACAAACTTTAACTACTACAGAGGTATATGGCACGCTTTACACACAATTAGCAAGGAAGAGGGATTATTTGGCCTTTATAAGGGACTCGGAACTACACTCTTGGTATGGTGTTATGATCGATTTAACATTACTTGAAGACTATGTTATCTTGTGTCTAATTAGCTACATCCCTCTGGTGCTAATGCAGACTGTAGGGCCAAGTATAGCCATCAGCTTCTCTGTGTATGAAACGTTGAGATCTTTTTGGCAGTCAAATAGGTACTCAATCCACAAACCAATTCATCAGTTTGATGTAACCTATATTCCCTTTAATTCATGTATAATAGCTTGTTGTCTTATATTAATATTAGTTTGTTTATTACATATCAGATCCAATGATTCGCCTGTTGCTGTTAGTCTGGCATGCGGCAGTCTTTCAGGCATTGCATCATCAACAGGTGAGCAGTCAAAAGGTGGAACTGTAACTTACATATTTAGCATTCCTTCTCATAAAGTTTTTTTTTTTTTTTTTTTTTTTCCTTATAACTTGAACTTTTGATGTTCCTTGTCAGACAAGTAATATTGATAATTTGCTTTTTGATGTTCCTTCCAAATGGGGTTATGCACATTCTTTTGGTATATTACCTTTTTCCTATTTCTCTGTATGGCATTAGGGCACTCAATTTAGTTTTGTTGTATCAATTGTTCAATAGATGTTCAATTGCAGTTAAGAATCCTTTAGTCAAACTATTGAATTTGCTCCACCCAAGAACATCAAGGAAGTTAATGTCTGTAGTGGTTTACTATGCTTTTGATGCAGAGAAAGAGAGTTTGGTGCAGGAACTGCACCAAGTATCTAACCAGACTGACCCCTAGAACCAGAGACCAGGTTGGAGTTATTATTTTATCTGTGGCATTTGACAATATAGTAAGGAAGACAGTAAAAAGACCCTTTTATTGTCTTTCGTAACTTTATTCTTGTCTAAAGATCTTGCTCAAGTAATCATCTTCCCAAGGTTTGTTCTATGGCATGTCTCCCCAAGCTATGCAGTGGATTCGATCATGGGGTGGCATTAATTGGATGAACCTATATGATTCCCTCAGTTACCAAATGTGAGAGGTGTCCTCTTTGAGGTATGCTTCTCACTTAGGCTACCTTCACCTGATGTTTGGACGGGTACCAGAATCCTCTTCAGCCTTTGTTGATGTGTTTCTGAAGAATCTATTCTTACTGCTTTGATAGTATTGCTTTCAGCATAATCTGAAATTCTGATTGGTGGAAATTATGGTAACAAAATAATAAAATTAATTGTCTATGATAAAATATTCTGTTAAATGGAATTGTTGACAAAGAACTACTGTTAAACATGGGATAAAAACAAAATCTTACTGGTTGGGGGATGGATAATTGTTTTCCAAAGCTATGTTATACAGATAGAGAGACTAACCACATTCATCCAAAATATTCATGCATACAAAACTTTAGTAGTACCCATTTATCAACTGTGTCGATGAAGGTTGTCTGCCCTTCTGCTGCAACCATTGTATGTTCAGGTAAGGCTGTATATTACTTAGAGTTTTACTACTTGATGCCAATTTTACAGGTAATGCTTTTACATGTTTGGATTGTTAAATACTGCAGCTACCATGTAGTGATTGACTTGTACATCCATAAATTTATTGTGTCAATTGGTCATAAATTCTATGTCGACCATAGCATAGTTATTCTTTAGAATAGCCTATAAAGTTTAAATGCAGGTTTGCAACTTGTCAGAGACACTGGGTCCTTACAATAAGAAACTCCCATATTGTGTACAATTCATTGGTTATTGATTTCAAATATAGTTGATTTTGATTTCATTTCTTGCTTTGGAGTTGGTTTGCACTTCAGTTGATTAATCATCTTACCACTTTTGATAATGCACTGTCTTGTCACAAAGATTGACAATCTGGTGTAAAATTGAATTGCTGTTCACTAGATAGTTCAATTTATCTGTTATCATATGCAGTAACTTTTCCCTTGGATCTTGTGAGGCGGAGGAAGCAACTTGAGGGGGCTGGTGGGCGAGCCCGTGTGTATACAACAGGCCTCTATGGTGTGCTTAGGCACATAATCCAGACAGAAGGCGTGCGTGGTCTTTACCGAGGAATTTTGCCTGAATATTACAAGGTGGTGCCAGGTGTAGGTATATGTTTTATGACTTATGAGACGTTGAAGATGATTTTATCAGATATCGCTACTGGATAATTGCACCCATCAACACTGGGGCTTTATATACAAGAAGTAAATGGATCAAGTTATTCGCCCATGCAAAAGGGTTAAAGTTACATTTACTATTTAGCAATTGTAGTTCATTTTATTTCACGGATCCTCAAAATTGGGCAATTTTGTACTGCTCCCGTGGGGATTGCATTTTTGTATGTACAGAAACTTGCATAACATTTAATATTAAGCTGTTATCGTCATGGATTCTCTTAAATTAAAAAACATAAAATTCATTTTTCAATGTTTATTCATATCTCCCAAAGAGATAGATACTATGTTTTGATAGTATTTGATTCTTACACATCAGAACTAAATTAGATCTAAATAAAGTAAGTTCTGATTATATACTATTTTATACAGTTATATAAATATATAATTTAGTTAATCAAATATTTTCATCTTAACACTTTTTCTTAAGTTGGTAAATAGATGTTATATATTTTTAATTTGTTCAATTATCTTTTAAAAATTTGATTTGTCATGATTTTGATCTGATTTTTATATCGAATATTTGACAATTTTAGAATATTTTTATCAATTTTTTTTGATGAAAAATCTATTAATTTTTACATGTTTCATTCAATCATATTCAATCATGTTGAACAGAGTTGTGAGTAATATCGTGTGTAATTTTATTATTACAATACAATTGAATAGGACATGTATGTGTATATCTTAAATTCTGGAGAAATAGTTTGAGTCACAAATTTTCACAAAGTTTAATTCTTCATTGGATCTAACTACAATTTTTTATTTTTTCATGTGACAAGATTACTTCCTAGATTATTTCCTACAAATGTAAAGTATTTAGAGGTTGATCTTTTATCATCAAGAATACCTGTTCAATCTACATCAGTATAAACCATCATATCTTTGTAGTTGGAGTTCTTTTTGAACATAATTCATCTTCTAGAAACAGTTTTTATGTACCTTAAAATCCGTATAACAACATCTATGTGTTTTTTATCTGGATTGTGCATAAACTGGTTAATTACACTAAGAGCATAAGTTAAATCTGACCTGGTGTGTGAGAGATATATCAATCTCTTTACAAATTTCTGATATCTTTCCTTGTTAGTTGGAATTTGATTTTCTTCAATGCACAACTTCAATCCACCTTCAATTGAAGAATTTGTTGATTTGCATGCTGTCATTTCAGTTTCTTTCGGTAAATTCAATGCATACTTTCGCTGTGAGAGATAAATACCTGACTTTGATCTTGATACCTCAATTCCATGTAAGTACTTCAAAGGATCACGATCTTTCATTTCGAATTCTTTTGTCAAAGACTTTTTTAATGTCTTGCGTTCCTCTATCATGTCATCAACATAGACAATAAGAATTGTAATTTTTCCTTCTTTTTTCTTTAGAAACAAGGTATGATCTTGGTTGATTTGTTGATATCCAAAAGCAAACATTGACTTGGTGAATCTACCAAACCATGTTCGTGGTGATCGCTTTAGTCCATATAATGACTTTTTAACCTTGCATACCTTCTTGCTATGTGTATCCTGGATCCCACATCCTTCTGGTAGCTTCATATAAACTTCTTCAGAAATTCCACGTATAAGAAGACATTTTTTATGTCAAATTGTTGTAACGACAAATTAAGGTTTACAACTAGAGATAACAATATTCAAATTGTGCTAATTTTGGCTACGAGAGCGAACGTGTAATCGATTCCATATGCTTGTATATACCCCTTTTCCACTAATTTAGCTTTGAATCTCTCAATTGTGTCATCTGTATTAAATTTCACAGTATATACTCATCAACATCCTATTGGTTTCTTTCCAATTGGACAATCTACCAATTCCCATGTTTTATTTCTTTGCAAGGATCTCATCTCATCATTCATAGCATCATTCCACCTGGAGTCAGCTAAAGCTTCCTGCATACTGTTAGGAATAAATACAGTAGATAATTGACTTATAAATGTGATATTTGAGTTAGACAAATTCTGATTACAAATATAATTACTCATAGGGTATCTTGTCTTACTGGTGAGGTCAGGATCATAAGTAGGTTTAGGGATACCTCTAATGACACGATTTGACATAATTCTTTTTTTGTATTAGATTCTTGAGGTGACTATTAGTGTGGTATATCATTAGCATCAATAGACAAACTTTCGATCTCGATATGCTCAAATTCTTCTTTATTATGTGGTTATTGATCATCACAATGTTACACATTTTCATCATCTCCTTATACAATTTTGTAAATTCCTTTCTCTAATATGACCTCAGTATCAATTTCTTAAGGAACAAAAATCTGAACTTCATCATAATTCTCTCTTTGAATTTTAGACTCAAGGGAAAAATATATCAAGCTCTCATGAAAAACTACATCTACAATAGTAAACATTTGCTTGGTTTGTGGATTGTAGCACCGATATCCTTTTTGGTGATTCGCATAGTCAAGGAACACACACCTTTAGCTCTAGGAGACAACTTCTCTGATGCTTGTGTAAGTGAACATAAGCAACACAACAAAAAATTTTATGTGTTAGTTCAACAATTCTAGGACTTACTAATGCATTTGTAAGTGATTAAAGAGGTGTTTTATACTCAAGAGACCTGGATGGTGTTCGGTTGATAATGTATACTGCATATGTGAAAACTTCTCCCCAATATATTGCTGGCATGTGAGCTCCAATTAGTGCAGCACAAATCACCTCTAATAGATGATGGTTCTTTTATTCTGTCACCCCATTCTATTGTGGAGTATTTGGTCAAGATCTCTAATGAACAATTTCTTTGGCTAATAAAAAATGTTGAAGTTCTGATTACATATATTCTCCTTCGTTGTCATTGCACAGTACCTGAACTTGTGCTTTGTACTGAGTTTTAATCATTTTGCTGAATTTCTGAAATAGTCCTCCAACTTCACTTTTAGATTTCATCAAACCTAATCAAGTTATTCGAGTACAATCATCAAGAAACGTTACAAATCACGTTGAACCACCCAACGTTGTAACCTTAGATGGACCCCATACATCAGAGTGAATGATTATAAAAGAAAAAAAAATTATTTGAAATTAAAGAAAAATATGCTCTGTGATTCTTTGCAAGCTCACAAACATCATAATACAAAGTTGAAGTGTCTACTTGGTCAAACATATTTGAAAATAATTTCTTTATGTAACCAAAAGATGCATGTCCTAGATGTTTATGTCATAACCAAATATCCTCGTCTTTTCTCACTTCTTGAGATCCTTTTGTTGCTAGCACTTAACTAAGTCTCTTTGAATCTTTTTCTGTCAGGTCCAGGTAATACAACCTTTCTCGCCTAATACCACAATCAATCGTCTTCTTCGTTTGAATGCCCTTAAAAACATAAGAATCAGGCTAAAAAATTACAACATATAAAGAGCTTTGATTATTTGTGAGACTGACAATAGGTTATATTTAAGAGAAGGAACAACAAGGACAATATCAAGGTTCAAATTGTTTGAAATAGAGACAGTTTCTTCTCCAATGATAATGAATTTATTACCATTGGTTGTGATAATACTTTTTTATGAGGAAGGTTTAAGATTTTTAATCTGTCTAACATCAAAAGTCACATGATCAGAATACACAGAGTCAATTATCCATGTATTATTTAGGACGATAAATGTTTATTAAGGCCTTACCATTAGAATCATCATTACCTACGGTTGTAGCAAGCATCATGTCTTTGTCATCTTCTTTGCCAATGGCAGTTACAGTAGCAACAATTGAATTTCTTTTTGAATTCTTCTTCGATGCTCGACTATGATCCCACCACTCAGGGTTCAGAACATTTTGATTGTTTCGCTTGCTTCCTTGTCATCATAGTTGTGGAATCAGAAATCATATCTTATGTTTTCAACGTTGTTGCCGGATTGTATCTCTCCGAATCAATGCATAATATTCTTCTAAATTAGGTGTCACTTGTTTGTCCAAGATTTCTTCACGAACTTGCTCAAAATCATCATCCATTCCAGTAAGGAATATATGCACCCTCAATCTTTCAATGAACTTCTGATATGACTTCACATCATCAAGGTCCTTCATGACTACTTTATTACGATGATCCAATTTCCTAAAAATCTCAACCAACTCTCCATAATATTCAGTTAGGGTTCTATTATTTTGTTTTGTAATGAATGCCCTTTGATTTAGGACAAACACTTGTAGCTCATCACTTCCATCATAAAATGCCTTTGACAAAACATTTCAAATATCGAGGACAGTGGGTAAGCGACGATACATTTTTATGATTTCTGGTTTCATGGATATCAATAGTCATCTTTTCACTTTTTGGTTTTCAACATATCATTTTTCATATCCCTCATCTTTCTCTGTTGGAGGCTTTACCTTCCCACATATGTAGAACATTTTTTCACTCTTTGTAATGTACATCTCCATTAGTTGTGATCATACGTCATAATTAGATTCATTTTAGAATTATGCCTACGTTAAAGACACCTTCAGATTGAATTATTACTGGAATTGGTTTTTGAAAGCAATGAGGGGGAGATTGATCACAATGTGAAACATGTCCCTACATTCCCAAAAGATGATTTTGATGATGATTCAAGTCAACAACATTCAAGATTCAAGCAAACCCAAGATATGATTTTGATAAATATTTTATTCAACATTCAAGCAAGCCCAAGATGATTCCTAAAAACTAGATAGAGTCTTAGAATACTAGATATGGAGGTACAAGTTGATGAAGTAATATTATGCATAAGCCTCCAAAGCACAAGTGTGATAAAATTCATAACATGATATTTTTCACTGTTATAATCAATTATGATGCATCAGAAATGGAAAAATGAGTTTCTCTGTCATAATTGATTATACTGGTAACATAATTAATTATGGCAATTCAAATTTGAAAAATATATTTGTTTTGAAGAATAAATGTTTTTTAATATATCCTGATTTTTATTCACGAAAATATTAATGTCCAACGACCATTTTCTTATGTTATTTTTCTATTTAATTAAGTTTTGATGAAAAATAAAAAACACACAATTACAAAATTCGAAAATATAATTTACATTCAATAAGTTTTTAGAAAAGAATTCTGAACAAGACAACATAGATATTTTACACCTTCTAAGAAAATTCTCTTCTCTACTGTCTTTTTTGCTTTCATTGTTAATCACATTTATTCTTGGAGATTGACATTCTACATGCTTCTACTATTTGTTGTCTCCATTACCCAGGTGTGACTGTTCTTATCTTACTCCTTCATCCTTTGTGGGTTTAGGAGATGTTTTCATCCCTTTGATTTGTTCAGGGAGGTGTTCATCCCTAATGTGATTCTAGGGAGGTGTTCATCCTTAGTGAGATTCTAAGGAGGTGTTTTTCATCTTTGATTTGTTCAGAGAGGTGTTCATCCCTAGTGGGATTTTAAGGAGGTCTTCATCCTTAGTAAGTTTCTAAGAAGGTAATTGTCTTTTTAATTAGTTTATTTTTTACTAATTTTTCTACTGAGTTGATTGTAATTTGTAAACTGAATTTGAAAGATAGTGAATTGGAAATCACTCTTGTGTTAAGGGTTGACTAAAAACTGAATTAGGAGTCACTCTTGTGTTAAGAGTTGACTGGGAACTGGATGTAGGGTTGACTATACCCAAACCAGTATAAATCACTTCCCTCATCTTTTTCTCTTTTCCTTATTATATTATCGTTTCCGCTTTATCGGTGTTTAAACAAATTATTGACTCACAAATAAATTTTTAATTTGACATCTATTAAAATTTATGCATCTATTCACCCCCTCTAGATGTTATTTGTCTAACAATTTTTCTGTCATCTTTCCAGCTTAAGATCTCCAAGGATTTAGAAAGAAAAAGGAAAAAATTTTGAACTCTAGTACTAAATTGAAAAACATAGAATTCATTATATAATTTGTATAATATCTCTTTTAGATACAAATATCATGTTTTTATAATATTTTACTCCTACAAATTATAATTAAATAAAATAAATTATGATTATGCACTGTTTTATATATAGTTATACAAATTTATAATTTAATTAATTAAATATCTTTATGTGAACCTCTTCTTAACATAATGTGATCTGCTTATCATAGCACTTAAAGAAAAAGGGGAAGCTTTGTTGTTGCTTATTGCCGACTTTTTATCTTAAAAGTTGAGTTAATAATGCTTTCAGAATTTTAAAGTTTGATATCAACCGGGAGAATCACACTACAAAATCTAGCCAACTGTTGTTGGAGAACCCTAATATGTATTTTTCAGAATAGAATTTTATACTTCAAATGTGGGACTCAAATCTTATACTCATTGGATCCTGACAAAGTTAGATAATACTTTAATATTGTTATAATTAAAAAAAATTCTTTTAAACTTAGGGGAGAAATTGATCTCTTTCCATCAACTTGTATAGAATTGATTTTATTTTCCTTTGTTTATATGGGTTTTCTAAAATTATCTTAGAACTTCTCTTTTTAAATGAAAAGTCAATAAAGTAATGATCTACTAAATTAACACTTTATTTTTGTCGGGTAAGATTTTATTTGGGTCATTGTTTTACCATAAGCGATGAGCAAATGTTATCTTCGATTAGTTTTCGGTTATGAGGTCATTCTCATATTTATTAAGTTGTAATTTTCTGCACATATTGTTTTCAAAACGTTATGTCAATTTGCGAAGTCACTTATATTGGAATAATCGAAGAAATTCATTTGCTATTAAGCTAAAGTTTTAATATGTGAGGGAGGAATACTTTTCTTAGAATGTTTGTACAAGCAAACATTGCTCAGCATTTCCAACTTTATTTGCTAAATGCATAAAGAAATAACAGTTACTTTTTGGTCAAAGAAAATAAACAGTTGTTGAATACTAACTTGTGATGCATTTATTTTTTTGGTCAAATTAGACTTGGACATCCTCATAGGATCCAAATAGCAGAAGTTGTCCAATCTTACTTTGAATCGGTCCTGGTCCATCCACTTGTGGAGTGGAACCAAAGAAAATGAAAAACAAACACTTCTATCCATACTTCGAGAACTTACGTTCTTGTTACACTGGAAAAATTCCAGTCAAATGAATATGGTCAAGTGTTCTACGCAAACCATACTTATTAACAGCTTCATTAGCAGCTCTAAAACCACCACCATAAGCTGGGGAAGAATCATTGGCAATCTGATTCTTGAAAAAATCACCCAATTTATTTTCAACATGAGACTTTGCACCCTTCTTTGAAGAGGAGGAAGAAGCAGCAGCAGCTGTGGACGTTGATGGCATGCTTTGAAAGCTAGGCATTACTTCTGACTCAAGCCACATATAGGAAAGAACCTGACAAATGCCTTCCTCTACCTCAGGGTTAAGGTTGCGGTAACCTGCGTAGTTGTTCAAGATGAATGAATAAGATGAAAGGTCGTGAATAATACAGAGAAAGTTCTAATAGCGTAAAGATTAAAATATAATACCTTTAAGGCGTAGCCAGCCATGCATCAACTCATGGGCAAGTATAGCACCTGTGAGTAACCTGCATGCCATTAAAATATGAGAACTCCTGTAATAAAGTTTGAACATCATCAATAACAAGTAACATTATTGTCTGTCATTGGTACTGTGTCTTATGAGTATTGGAAAAATATCAGAACTCACAATTATATTCAAAAGGAATCAATCAGCTCTAATTCGAAGGGGACAAAAAGCAAAGTTTCCATTGTCCGCTAGTTTACCTAGGAAGACCATATAGAACAAGAATTGCTGTAACTTCACATTTTCTAATCAGTTTTTGTGGTTGAGTTCTCATCCCTATGAGTCGATGGCCTCCAATTCTTGGCCTCCTATGAATCTGAAACAACATATCATCATAAAGTAGTGAATATACCTGACAAATGTAGTATTGTCATTCACTATGGATTCCACATTCTACCAAAACAAGAAGTAAATAGTTTTAATATCTTACACTGGTCACAGTCTGCTCTTCTGAAAGGCATAAACCCCTTGTTTCTGGTAAGTGTAGAAAACCCTGGCAGAAACCACTTAGTGAGAGGAGTTGGACTAATCATTTCACTAAAGCAAAGAAAGGATTTTTCCTTACATTTTTCTCCCCTACTATAGCTTCATTTAGTGCTTCTCTCTCAACTAGAAGCATGGGAATTTGTTGATCGATTCTCATCTGCATTCCTTCATAGTAATCTCTGATAGAATGGTAAAGAGGCTGGCAATCACCAGTGTCCATTATAGCAGATTCCATGCACTCTAAACACAAACTCCGTCCATCTTCTAGTCTATAGTATTTTATGTTCAGAGGCTTCAAGGGAAATAAAACAGTAACAAAAAATAACTTCAGAAAAATACATGTTCCAAACATTACGAATCATTAAATAGGCTGGAGTGTTTAAATTAGTACCTCCAATCTTTCACAACTACAGCAGCGAGCTGTATTATCATATTCATGAGATGGACAATACTTTTGGGACCAAAAGGGGTGGCACCTGTATTCAATCAAGCCAGCTGCATTAATGGGAATCTGAAATTAAAAAAGAAAATCTTCAGTGTTAGTACAACTCTTTATTAACTGCGAAGTAATAGGTTAAATGATAGACCAGAGGTAATCTTTTTACTGGGCTGATTCTATGTGGGGAAGTTCTTAAAATTTGTTTCAAATGTCATCATATTAGAGAGTAGAATAATATTTGATTCTTCGATCAAAAAATCCTTAGGCCCCAATCCTATTCAAGGTATATGAAACAAACTGATATTTAATAATCTTGAACAGAGAAAACTGTTAGTATAGCATAACAATTTGAACAAGGAAAGGCAAACTTGTCTTACAAATTGGAAGCAAACTTCACATTTTGGATGAGTCAACTCTTTAAAGCAGGATTTATGATATGGATGCTTCCCTGACAAGGAAAACTAGAATCAACAGAAAAAAAAAAAAAAAAACAGTAAGATATGGATAAAAAAGAAACGCGATGATAACATCTCCTGAGAATGTCAAAGAGGATCAAACTACCTCACGTTCAGTAATGGGGTAACGACAGGAGTGACAACGAAAGCAATTTGGGTGAAAATACGTATCCATGCACCCCAAACAATTTCCATACATTATCTCTTGGTTGCAGCCACCACATATTCTTCTGTTCAATGGCAAACTACACACTATCAGTTATAAAAGTGTACCAAAATATCTTGCTTTCCTTTTGCTTAGACATTTACATAGTACTAATCCCCCAAAAGTACAATGTCTGCACATGCCGCAAGTTTCTTTTTCATTATTTTTTTAAAGGAACAGATTCTGATTCCTTATGCAACTAGGTTCATTGAAATAACTAAGAAATGATGCTGCAGGACCATCATTTATTCATATATTGATGTAATCATGTGAAACCCTTTATCTTCATAGAATTGTTGGTACTTGGTAAACATGAAAGTATTAAGTCAGCAATAAAAACAATTACACAATTTAGAGAGACATTCATCCACACAGTGTCAAAAATATTTTGACTTCTGAGCATGAGGAATAACAGAAAAAAGTTACTAGCACTGGCCCATATAACAAACCTCAACCACCTTTCTATGAACCAAACTGGAAACATTTGATGTTTGGCATTCATATATTAGGAGAGATTTTACCTATATTCGTGGGGATAAAATGGTGTAGGGGCAAATGGGGGGTGTGATGATGAGTTAAGGGTATCCAGAGGTGCCTTTGAGTAATCTTCACCAGAGTCTTCTCCCCAACTATATCCTTGATGGGCTAATGGAAACACAAGTTTAAATCTTTGAATAGCAAGATGTAGATAACTATATAACAGATATTTTCGAAAATCAAAATACCAACCGTTTGGTCTCTTTAAATCTTCGGCTGAAGAAAGTGCCATTGCATGGCCTAGATCCTCCTTCTCCTTCTGAGCTCTAGCACGATCATCCTGATTATTACATCGACAGTATTATTCAAAAATTTATCCTCAATTATATTTCTGACGTAAAATAATTATTGAATATCTAGTATGGATTTTTGTTTTCCCTTCCATCTTAGTTGAGAAGGAACCATTAAAGTGGATACTCTACAATATCAGGAGGAACACGATTCTACAAAAAGTGGACATATATAATGCAGAACAATGCATACGGTATAATTTTCTGTTGCACAAACAAGATACACAGATTTAACTATATATGCAACGAAGCGCGATTATAGTAAAATTTTCCTGTCCAATATTTAAACAATTGATTCTCTTCTCTGTACATTTCAAATCATTATTTAAACCAAGAAGTTACTAAACCGGTTCTTCTCTTAAATGTCCACCCTCATTGCAATAAGAACTCAGATTAACAGAACTACATGATAATTTATGTATTGGCAGAAGGAAAAGAAGCCAGTAGCCACTAAGTAACAAGGGAATGAAACATGTGAAATTAAGTTACCAACTTAACATAGTGGGACCGAATCTTTGGTACAAAAATGTACATAAGCAAATTCGAAAAAGTGCTTTTAGATTAGGTGTAGTTCAAATACTGAGTTTCATAGCGCTTGATGAGATCAAAAGGCTGTCTAATTAACCAAATAAGAAAAAAGTAGCAAAGCTTCTAATGCTTTTGACTTAATTATGGTTCATTACATATGGGATCACCACGTATACTACATTGATTGGCTAGTTGCATTTTAAATTTAGGTAAAGCAATAATAAGTGAAGTTTAACTTTCATGCACTGTTATTGTAAAGATTTTTACGCTGACATCTAATAAAAAAAATATTTTACTTATAATTTTTAAAATAAGTATTATAAACGTTAACAAACTTATTCTACATGAAGGACACTTAAAAAGATTCTTAATACTCTCGGTGCATCATAATTAAATTCATAAAACTTAAAGGCAGTGCTTCACTTTACCAAGGCTCTAGATGGAGCACCCCAAACTAAGCTTTCCTCGGTTGGCTCATGCAGATGACGACCACCCCTTCCTCTGTTGGACCCACCTCTGAAAAGCTTACTGAGCCATTTCATGAAACCAGACTTTCTCTCTGAGCGAGGAGAAATATAATCCCCTGTATGCCCCCAAAATTTCACGATGTATCAAGTTAAATAAGAACCAGAAGAAGTTCAAATTCAAGTTCTAAATCAGAAAAAAAAAAAAAAAAAAACACCATGTTCTAGATAACTTTTTGGAACCACGTGCAAAATAAATTCCGAAACTTTGAGAATACCCAATTAGTAAATAAATAGGAAAATTTAGAGTTCAAACAACAGTTTCATGGGGTGGTTCATGATTCTGCAAAATTGTTTTTTTTTCTCTGATGTAAAAATCTGTAAAGCAATTGCTTTGAATAGGGGTGCAATTGAAGCTTAAATTTTGATGAATAGTACTGAAAGAGAAAGAGAGGGAAAACAGTGATGATACCGTATATGCATGGATGAGAAAGATGGTTGACATCTGAAGAAGGAGCCATGAGGAGGAAAAGGCAATTTTGTGAGAGTGAGAGAGAGAAGATGAGGCAAGGGAAAAGGGAGGAGGAGCAATGAAAATGACAGAGAGATGGGGAAGAAGGGGCATTGGAGAAGAGTTAATAGTGGCTCAAAAAGAGAGAGAGGAAGAGAGGAATCAAAGAGATTCTTGGCTTGGAAAGCAATGAAGAGAAAGGCAGAAAGATGGGTTGTGGGGTGGGCGAGGTGGGAATCTGCTGAAGAGGAGAATATTAAGTAAGGGGTGGATTGCAGAGAGAATCAAAGAGGATTTAGAGAGAGAGAGAGAGAGAGAGAAGAAAAGAAGTGCTGTGTTTGCACGCATGGAGTAGTGTTAGAGGAGTGTGTATGCAAAAATTTTCTGTTTGTTGGCTTCGTGGTTTGAATTCAGCAGGTAATATTTGCCGGGTAAAAGGACAGATAGACAGACATAGGTTCAAAGTTTTCATGTTAGTTAGTTAGTAGTAACTGTCAACTTTAGGAACCAATATTGTTTTCCTTGTTACCATCAATGTTTTCAAACTTTGGTTCAACAAGATCTGTCAGTTTAACTACTGTGACTGGAAAAAATTGATTCCCCTGAATGTAACTAAACAAGTTCTCCTTTCTTTTCTATCAGATTTAATAATTTAAAGTTAATAAATATTTCATATCAACAATATGATTATAAATTGATATCATTAAAATACTGATCTAACATGTTAAAACTAAAACTTTACAATCACCAAATTGTTCCAATCAATTTAATTAATTAATTAGAAGACATAAATTATGAATGTACAATTTTCTTTTTGATTTAATTTGAAATAATTTCCTTTTAGTCATTCAAATTAAAATAATATATTTAAATTCTTCAATTTTAATAAAATATAAATTTTATCCCTGAACATTAAATTTGCAAAACTAAAAATATTCATTATTTATTCTAAGTTTTAACTAAGAACATAATTAAGTATTTGGGCTTTGGCCTTTTTCTTGTAAAAATAAACCATTTTCTATCCTCATATTCAGTGATACTATCTTCTCTTTTTCTTATTTATTTATTTTTTATATTAGGGGAACCTCAGGTTTCTTATGAAAATTTATTAAGACTTTTCTTTCCTTAAATAAATGAAACAACACATCTGCAAATAGTTATCTGCTAATGGTTCTTGACAGTTCACTTAAATTGCAACTTGACTCACTTTTATCTTTTTTCTCGAATTCCATTCATACGCTGCGAATATAAATCGCTATTCTTTTATTCCTTCTACCAAAGCAAACACTTTTGTTCTCTTTGTCTTCTATTTGACATGACATTCAATAAGCCAAAAAATCATAAAGAGTTTCCTTCATCACGCACTCTTCACACCCACAAGAATCATCCTCATCCCTGTTCAAACTTACAAAAATCATTCATATCTCGGTTCATTGTGTTAGAAGCTTGACCTTAGTTAAGAAACTCGTAACAGCTGGGAGAATTTCACAAAGATTATGACAAGGGGTTGTAGATCGAGGTATTGCAGAATGTATATTGTATTATTTTAAGTGAAGTACCACTTTTGAAATAACAAAAAGTTTACATAATTTTGGACTGATATGATTAAGGATTACAATTTTAAGGAATTATTTGAAATTGCCTTAGTTTCAATGATTGATACAAAAAGGTTATAACTTTCAAGGAGTGAAACAGTTTAATTTGATGTAAAATTAATTTAAGCGTGAGCAGTAATTATTCCTGAACTAAACTTTATCTGGGGGAATTAATAGAGCAATGCCAAAGGAAAATGCCCATGTTGGCCAACCAAAAAAAATATTTTTATTCCAAAGTTTGGATGGTCAAGAAATGCATACCTGAGTGAAGGTATTCTTCGTGTTGTGTCTGACTTTTTAGCTTTACATCCAAGCAAACAATGCTAAAAGGATAGGGAACAAAATCATAATACTCAGAAGTAGTTTTGTTTCGAATTAATTTTCAATTTGTCAGTAAAGAATCTTTGCATGCTATCTGTAAACATTTGGCCGAAAAACAAACCAATCTGCTAACTTCATCTGTTATAGTAACCACACCACATAAAAAGAAGACAAAAGTAGAAAAGTAAAAGGCCTTCTCTGTCTTTAGAAGTGTGATGATCATTGTAAATTTGTAGAATGGACACCGAAAAATTAGGAACCTCAGTACCTAAGGACCAAAGAAAAAGCATTTTACAACCATGCCTCCTTCCTTTTCTGATTCTGTGTATCATATGAACCTGGCTTTTGATCACCAACCTAATAATTGGACAGTAGTAACCAACAATCCTGGGACATTTCTCTTAGCCATCGATATAGCCATAAAGTTGGGACCAAATATATTGTGCCCAAGACAACAGAGAGAATTGCTTTCCAAGCAAAAGGATTAATTGGTGGAATGTCCTCACACCTGGCTTAATTCTATTTCTTATATTCACATGATTCTTAGGAGCATACACATCTTTCTCAAAGAGTTACTTTTATTAATAGAGAAATCAAAAGTAGTTAATGCATTACTCTTTTTCTTTTTCTCCCTTTGTTTACATAGTAGGTGGTGCAGGCATCTGGGTAAGACAATGAGCAACAAGTTCTGGTGGAAGATCAAAATACGTGACAATGGATAAAATAACATAATGAATTTACACTTCGCTCCATCTTAAAAACTAGTTTATAAAGTAAAAATAGCTTGACTTATACATAGTGTTTTATTTTAATTATGTCGTACGTTATCTTCCTCCAACTCATCCATAAACTATTGGTAGTGATATCATTGTTAAATTTTTATAAGGACGACAAGATTAGATTAACATTCACCTATGTGATACAATATAATTATATAAGAGATTATCACTTCATTTTTAATTTAAAATATTAAAACAATAGATTTATGTATTTTTCTTCTTCTTTTTTCTACTTGAAGTTACTTTATTTTTTTTATTTTTATCTAACGTGAGATTTCACATGATAATTGATTTTCAACATATCTAAATATGTATTTGGAGCCGGTTTAAAATGCACATTTGCACTCTCTCCCCACCACCAAAGATCAAACAACATAGAAGTTTGCTTTTGTGGTTTTTCATGTTTGCAACGAGTTTCCAAACACGCGACAAGTCTATGTGCCACCTGACCTTGAAGAACGTTGGCAAATTTCTCTTTTGAACCACATGTTTCATCAGAATAAAGTGGCTTCTGTGTTTAATCTCAAAAGGGAATTGTCTGTCGTCTTCAAACAGTTTTGGGGCCTATAAATTAGGTCTATGGCCTAAAGTTTTGAAGCATATAAACTGAAACATCTTATTTGGCAGCCTTAAAGCTTTCTCATGTTGCTACTACTGAACAGAAAAAGGTGCAGACTATTATTAAATTGGAAGCAAAAGGGGGAAGGAAAGCTATTTCACCCTCAAATCTCATCTTTAGATTTTGTGTGCTAGAAACACATAATATCCGAGTCAGATCACATGTTGGGGAGCACCTTGAAGATATACGCTTTTCCACTTTTTTTTTTCTACTTCAAATGTTAGCAGCATCTTAAACTTCAAGAGGAGGTACCTAGTTGATAAAACTATATGCTCCTAAATCTTTTTAATTTTTATTTCAAATGTCACAATCGAATGTCCATCAAAATACAAACTCTCAAAATGTTGTTTTCATAAAACATGCTTTTAGTATTGCCAACAATGCCAAGTACTCTTCACTAACTTCTTTTCAAAGTAGCATCAGGCAATTGCCATCATGAAAAGATACATAATCTTGCATAACTTAAATAGAGCTACATGATTGTTGGTCAATTTAAGAATATAATCAAAAGATTTTCAAATTTGTGTTTTAAAAGTATATATTATATATTAATTTCAATTTTTAAAAATATTTTGTTTCAAATCAAAAGGTTTTCAAATTTGTGTTTTAAGAATATAATCAAAAGATTTTCAACATTTGTAAATATGTGACAAGAACTTTGAATTCAATGATAGGTTAATTAGGGTGGAAAGACATTGAAACACAAATACAAGCCTTCGCACCAATAATTAAATTTGTTTTAAGAAATCACTTATATCATTCTTTTTATGATAAAAAAAATCAGTTTAAGTTAGATCTCTACAAGCAAAAAAAACTCTTTTTTTAACATATTTAAAATCATTGTATATTCAAAACTCAAATAATTAATTAAACTGGATCAATACTAAATGATAAAAAACACCATATAATCCTTGCTTGGCCATTCAATTGTGAATAATTTGGTTGACCAGAGTACAAAATCACGCTTCACAGTTTAGAAGTACCAATCAAATACAAATAGCTTTTTCAACTCATTGGCATAAAGAAAGTAAACAAGATATGATGCCTTTGTGACGTGCCATATTCGAGTTTTCTTTTGTTTAATTAGCATAGGACCGACACAAACACACTTGAAGAAAAAAATTGAAGTCAATCTCATATGCAAGTGTTAACAGAATTTTGCTTTGTCAATGAAGCACACAAATTAAAAAGAAGCACATAAGAAATTCATGAAAACAACTATTGGGAAGGGAGACCAAAGCTAGTTTGGTTTGAAGAATCCAAAAACTTGCAAATTCAAATTTGTTAAAGCAAATCCACTTTGGCAGAATCCCCCTTTATAAGTTCGGGCACATTTTCAAAATGATATACCTCACTACTGTAATTTATATACCTTATATAGGAATATGTATTACACTGATTAATAAAATAGGAAAATCCTATATATCATAAAATAGAAAACTTGAAGACAAGTTTATTTTTTATATCAATTCTTGCATGATTTTGCAATAATCAAGACTGATTAGATGATTTATTATTTCTTTAATTTTTATTTTTTAAACTTGTTTTGATTGAGAATTAAAGTATAAGTTTAAAGTCTTACATTAAATAAATAAAAATAAGAAAGTTGAATAATTTATAAGTGAGAAAAATTTATAATTCAATATTTTAACATTACTAAAAATTCTCATTTTTTATAGGAATATTTTTGTAAACTTTTTGTAAAAATTTCAAGAAATAAGTTTTTTATAAATTTAAATAATTTTTAATAAGAAAATTGAAAAAAAAACTAATTTTATAATAGTGTAAAGTTTTGAGTTT